CAGAAGCACGCCGTCTACACTGCGCGGGAGGAGCAGTTCCTTGTGGAGAACAACTGCGGGTGGCGGGTGGGGTTGATGACGGACTGGGGGGCGGGGCGCGCTCTGCAGGCGATCTATGGGGTGCTGCGCTCGTACGGCATGGAGTGGAAGGTGGTTTCGCCGTTTCACCTCTTGGCGCGGACGACGGCGCAGACCTGGCGCGTGATGCACCATCGCGAGGCGGGGACCCATTCCTCTAGTGGAGGCTCGAGCCCCGTCCACCTCATTGAGGAGCGGGCAAAGCAGGTTAAACTCGGGATCTATTTGTTTCGAATCCATGAGCGACATGATAGGGGGTTTGTGGTGGATTTCAGTATCCTGAGAAATATGCTGTTGGGGTTGAACATCGTTCTCTACCTTTCGGATGCATTGATTCGATACATTGGATAAAATGTATAGTATAATGAAGTCCATACGTGGGGTGAGAGAGGTGGTGGTCCGACGAACCCTTTCTTATATCCACAGAGGGAAAAAATCAGCAAGATTCATACACCTCGCATTAAATGATGGGTGTTGAATTACGGATGATACGACACATAGATTCATTCAGAGATAAGCATCCTGTTATAGCTTCTTTTCTATGTAGCTGAAGTCTTGACGGTTCATTGATTGAGGCCTTTTTTGCTGTTATTTTTGGAACGCAGAGAGTTTCTTTCTCCTTGTATTCCCCTTTCGCCAAACGAAACTTAATCTCATAATTTGGTCTTGCTAGTTTTTTTTACCTAAGACTACACGATGGCAACTCAGTTGCCGCATCGGGGATATCGTGTGGCGTTGTGAGCAGAATACAAGATTTTTATCACACAGATATATGGGATTTACATTGCATTGTAACGGTGTTTTATATGTATGATGCTACTTCATACAATCTTTTTTTCGATCAATTCACCAATTGTTGTACTATTGTTTATTATTTTTTCGCCTCTATAAAAGAAGAGTTTTTTTAATTTACTATTGTTTAAATGGTACATCAACAAAAGTGCGACATTATATCTATGTTACATATTTAGTTAGAAATTGTAATGTGTACCTATACACAGGAGTACAGAATACCCAATTGCTATACTGGTATATGCTTTTCCCTTTATATCCATTTAAATATTTGTGTTTCTCCCTTATTTTTGCAATCACGTAACTTTCCGAACTTTTGAATTGAGGCATTTACAACACATGAGTTATTGATCTTAAAGGAAAAAAAAGTATCATTGGGACGCAAGAGTGATTGGTGTTTTGAGATTCTTCTATAAGGGAAAGTTTCCCTTTCGAAATCTCTATTTACTTCTTTGCAAATTTCGAGGATCCTTCACTCCCTTGTAGCTAACATATTAAGGAAGGAGGATGATGGTGAGAAAGACGAGGCTTAAAAAAAAACCTTTTAGCTCTGTTATGGCTCCTTACCGTAGTTTTCGTGGAATTTATATTTTATTTATACGTATGTTGTGCTTTTGAAAAGGGGCTTCAGTTGTGGTTGTTCATATTTTCGGTGTTCGTTGTTGAAGAGATCGATTAACATTGATGGTATGGCTGTGCGAAGGGATGAAGGATAAATGCCTCTTTTTTATTTTTTCTTTCTTTACTTTAGTACAAAAGGAGCCTACAACACACTGCTTAGTACTGAATGCTTTGTGCATCAAGATTCATGTGTTCGATGGCCCATCGTAAAGGTCATGTGGATGTTCGGAAGCTTCTGTATGGCAAACGCAAAAATGCCTTTCACCGAGTTAGTGAATCAAAACCATCCGTAGTGACAATGATTTCGAATGTTCCGAGCGAAGGATTGACTGCGGCGGTCGTTCGAGCCATCGCTTTAAAGGAACTTGACCGAGACAGTGTGTTATCTATTCTTAAAGCTAACCGCGCGTTGCATCGGTTGGATCGCTCAGAGCTTGTAATCCAGGGGCTCCGCGATGCCAACTTTCCACTCACTTCACATCACTATTCTCTTCTTATGGCCCATGCCAATGAACAGCGGCAACCACACAAGGCGCTGCAGTACTGGAAGGAGGCAGCAGAGGAAGGGAAGGTGAATGAGAAGCTGCGCGGTGCGCTGATCGCAACGTATCGAAATACGGGAGATTGGCGTAAAGCACTGGAACAGTGTGAAAAGATATGGGAGGACCAACTTGACCTCGACGCTCACGCCCTGCACGCGGCGATGAATGCGTGCAGGCGCCATGGGGCGTGGAAGGAGGGTCTCGAGGTCTTCTCACAGGCTGTCAACCGAGGAACGAAGCCCAATAACGTTGTGTACCTGGAGCTGCTCCGAGTTCTGGCGAGCGCCCACCCGATGCGATCTCGTGCGTCGTACGCCTTGGCCATTTTGGATGCGCTAAACGGCAAGATGGATCTCACCGCGGGCCACTACAACGCCGTGTTAGCGACGCTCCGCGGACCACACACGTGGGAAAAGGGAGTGGCCCTTTTTGAGTCCATGAAGGCGAACAACGTCCAGCCCAGCCTGGAAACGCTCAGTGCGTTGTTGCTTTTAAACCCGACCAGTTTGGCGCACTGCATCCGCTGCGTCACGCAGGCGCATGAGCTGGGGATGCCCGTAACCGATCTCATGTATCGGGCGGTCTTCAGCAACCTCTTCCGTCTCAACCTCGACCACGAGGCCTCCCAATTTGCCGAGCGCGAGTACAAGCGCGATACGGTGGATATCTGCAACCCTAACAGTTCGACGCTCGCGATTAACATGGCGATGCTGGATAGCCTTTTAGCGCATCCGCGTCCTCACGACGCGTTTTTGTTTTACCAGTCATTTGAAACGAACCTGGGAGACGCCGCCGGCCCCGCGACACGTCAACTCGGAACCCTCGGCGTTCCCACACGGCGGTGGATGGTGCAGGGGCGCGTGGCGGTCATTGACCACAACGTGCTTCTCTCCCCACGGATGGAATCGTTGATCTTCCACTACGACTCCATTTTTATTCCCTTTTCAAGCGTCCGTCTGCTTGTTCGGCGTGACCAGGAGTTAGAGGGCACCGTGCAAAGCCGTTACATGCGGCGTACCTTGTACCACATTGAACTCTTGCTGAAAAGTCCAGAGTGGAGCATGGTGCGCGTCTTGCCCTTTTCCCATCAGCTGCTGGCGCATCAATATATCGTGGGCGGTCCTGCTAGCCCCGACGCGCTGCGCGCGCTCCGCGAGGAGGCTGAAAAAACTCCGCCTCCCGCCGGGAAGTCGCTTCCGTCTTTCAGCCAGTCGCTTTTGGACAGTATAGCCGGGGAGACGCCTGATGGGCGCCCGGGTGGGGATGGGGCCGACAAATTCGTAGGTCTCATGTCGATTCGTCCGTGCGATGACGGCGCGGTGCCTGGTCTGATCTCTCCCTTCGAGGATGGGCCGCATCCTCTCAACGAGGATGATTCCAAGGATTGTGAGGTTGTCCCGGTGCAGGCCCCTCCCAAAGACTTCTTGATGCAGCCGCATCGGATTACCTCGACGGAACGTGTGGTGGCGGTGGCGGTTATGATCAAGACCCTCAACCCGGATGTGGACATTCATGTCTTATCGCCTAATCCTACGCAACTCTGCGTTGTGGAGCGATGGAACAGGCTGCCGCAGCACACTAAACTTACCCCCGTGCGATATCCAGAGGAGTTATTTGTGAAAGCACCACCTGAGCGGCCAGTTCCCGTGAGCGGCGACGGAAGTAACAGATCAGGCAAACGAGCTGACGAGAATGTGTCGTTGTTGGATGAAGGACACGGTGATTCATACGGCTCAGGTAATGTAGGGGATTGGTTTATGCCTTCGTAAGGACAAACAGCTCAAGTTGGAAAGGTGGTCATGTGGAATGATACAAAAAATCCTCTGAGAAGGAAAGTTTGATATTCTACTTTTGGTGTATTGATGTGATTGACGATAGAGAGAGGTCGCCCCATGTGTTGGACTTTCGGTTGCATTCTTTTTCCTACCATGAATAAATTGAAGAGGATGTCCCTCTCCGCAGAGGAGGGGTAAACGGAAAAACAATATTACGGCTAAATCCATGTTTATGGATAATACATCACTCGATTTTCCATTTGGTTATGCTACTATATAAAAGTGATCCAAACTTGACGTCCTCTTCGTGTTAGAGAGCTTCTAGTATGAACCACTTTTGTTGCTCTTCGATTTGATTTATCTCTGAGGCCTGCCTTTTTTGTACGGTTTGATACTTATTTTTTGTAAAATCCATAGCTTAATTCCCACATAGCATATCAATACACCTGGTCATTGAAGAATGAAAGAAAGCTGAAATCATTAAATTATAACTAGTGTAAATACATTGTTTCTCGACGTGAAGTCCTGTTATCCTTTTATCCTTTTATCCTTTTTCATCATTTCTTTTATTTTTTTCTGATATTATGGAGTACCCGGCGACATTTAATGCAGGTTTATTAGCGTACTGCAAGCGCGAGAACATTTCCCCTCAAATTTTCCGTGACTTGGCGGAGCTTCGCCCCAAGTTACCGCGTTACGTTCGAGTCAATCCGCAGTATCGCGATAAAGTCCTTCGTACGGGTATGGCGGAAGAGATTGCGAAGCACGAGGAGGACGATCTCCCGTGTTTTCCCGTGCCGGGAGTGCCTCCGCCTTCCGCGGAGTGGCTTCGTTTAGGGGTCGCCAAACTGCTAGGCTTGTCCGCATCCGCGGTGGAGGCGGTGCGGTGGCTGCCCTGCGACGCCTTCGCGCTTCCTCGTGGGGAGTCGCTGCGGGGGAAACCGGCCTACCACGAAGGCCACCTCCTCGCGATGGATGCAGCCTCCATGGCGGCGGTGGTCGCCCTGCGGCCACGCCTGGGCGATCGCGTCTTGGATCTCTGCTGCGCCCCGGGGATGAAACTGCAGATGATCGCCGACGCGGTTGGCCCTGGCGGGGTCGCGGTGGGGGTCGATTGCAACGTCGATCGCCTGTACGTCGCGCGCGCCCTTCTCGAGCGGTATGGGTACGGGGCAACCTCGGGCGACCGCTGCGTTGGGCTTTTTTGCGCGGATGGGCGAACCATCACGCCGGGAAAGCTACGGGAGTCTCTCGACGTGGGGCGCGGGAAACAAAAGGGGCCTGTCGACGACGCGAGCTGCCGGTTGACTCTCTTCGAGAGGCGACGCCTTCGGCAGTTTTCCAAGCGATTTCGCGACGTCCTGAGAGGTGGCACGGAGGAGGAAAGCGAGGGGGTGGTGCCTGTGTTCGTTCCTCCTCGGGTGCGGCGAGTCCTCCGTGAGTTGTCTTCGTCGGACAAGGGAATCTTTGATCGCGTTTTGGTCGATGCGGAGTGCTCGCACGATGGTTCGATCGCCCATCTCGCGCTTGGCGACGAGGCGTCCTCGCCGGATGCGGGTGGTGGCGGCCTGGGCAACGCGCATCGCATGCGTCGGATGAATCTTACGGAGGGGAAGCCTCTCGCATCGCGTCTCTTGCTCGAGCGTAGCCTCCACTCTGAGGACGGCTTGTCAGCACCGGATGGGTCGCGAACCACGGACAATGCGACAGGTGGGAATGAGGACTGCCTCGATCCATTACAGCAACTCCAACTAGATATTTTGCTCAACGGATACGCCCAACTCAAGGTTGGGGGCACACTCGTTTATTGTACCTGTTCCTTCACATATAATCAAAACGAGTTCATTATTCTAAAGTTTCTTCACATCGTAAACACACGTCACAATGAATTCGATCAAGAATCCAAACCGTATGGAGAACAGGTGCCGCCAAAGAGCGTGAGACGTTCCATAGCTGTAGTCGTGCCTGCGTTTAGCTATGTCCATGAGGAAAAACACTTTTGCAATGAAGGGGCAGGGACTTGGCAAGAACATGCAACGGAGGAAGATAAACATATTCGTCTGGCACCATTTATGAAGTTCTGTGGTGGCGCCACAGCCTCATGCTCGGGCTCCGTTTCTTTTAGTGACGTCATTTGCGAGGTGGTAAATGGGGGTGATCCCGAACCATTTCGCGAACTACAGAAGCGATTAGATGCATGCAATGACTCCTACAACCTAGTATCGCAATCTGCGGCAGCAGCAGAGCGAATACTCGGCCCTCATCCGACAATACTACAAGAACCGTGTGATTCTGTGAGCGAAGCAACAGCACTGGAGGAGTCTTCGTTGGAAATGACTCACTCAAGTCTTTGTCTGGGCTCGCGATTCTGGCCGCATGAATTCCGGACAAGCTTTCAGTTTGTTGTGAAAATATGGAAAAAACCACTGTAAGGCATACAGGCGCGGCATTTCGCAGACAATTAATTCTAATATTCATTGTTGTGCTTGCTGTGTTTGGTGTATATTTGATGGAAGTAGTTGGTTCTCTGTAAGTCTCATGTTTTTTCGTACGACTCGTTTGCTTATAGACGAATCCAATAGGGAAAGGGCGAACAGTGACCCACGAATTTAAAGGTAAACATGTTTCCAACTCGTCACATTTCGGTTGCATCTTTCTCGGGCTGCTGAGGAGGCGAGTAAAGAAATTTACAACAATTGATTAAGTTTTCTTTATTTTTTATTGTTGTCTAAGATACCTTGCTGGCATTCATTACTTGCATTGGTTATGTTCCTTTTCTACATTTTTGTGTTTGCTCTGTATCATTATATGCTTCACTAGATAGCGTCTACGAACCTTCCTCCTTAAAGAAAGAAGCAGTAGACATATAAAACTAGCGTGATGGGCCCTGCTGCTGTCACTTATTCCAGCAGACTTCTCCGAAGGCAACACTTGCGGGTGAAGCTGGGAATGGACGGCCGTGAGTACTGGTGCTCAGTACGATTCATCACTTCTATCCATCCACATGCAACAGATACAACCAAGAGAACTGCGCACGAACCTTTTACCCTCAACCACCTCGCACCCACTCACACAGCTTTTTCCCCAGAATTGACTAGTTTTGCCCACACCGATGCACACCTTGAGCGCTCAGGGAGGGCTCCGGAGTATCTTGCAGAGGGAATTCACCCTGATGCACAGGGTAACAGTGGCCAGTCCGAGAGGAGCATGAAATGCATGCGAGTGCGGCGCCTTAAGATGCTAGAGGCACCTCATCGCGACGAACTTGGGTATCTTCGTGATTTGCTTACCCAGTCCGAGAGATACCGCATTGCGGAGGCCAGTGATAGCATTAGAAGTGGGGCTATGAAGAATTCATTGAGATGCACCACTGGCGGAGACCCATCGCTTTCAGTGTGCAAAACCCACGAAGAGAGACAAGAAAAGTGCGCACGTGGAGAAAAAGCTTTAACGCTGCAGCGCACCACACAAAGGGGGCAAGTGGTATTCATGGCGTGCTGCATTCGCTGTCAGGTAAATAGTATAAATGACAGGAACGAACGAAGCCTTACGAGTGTGTCGGAAATGGGTCCCACAGCCCATGGCCATTATACTTCTTCGAGATACGTCGGCGTCAATTACGCACTTCACCACTGCGTGAATCGTGGTCAGACGCTTAGGGGAATTCTCAAGGGTTGTGCGGAGCAGAACGCCTTTGGGGCTGTTGCGGCCAGCGGTCAGCCATATACTGCGGTATCGCACATGTACTTGGCATCCTGTCTGACGGTTGGGGTGAGCCCTGCGGGGCCTCAGGGGGCAGCTATCGCCCGGAGCGACCATACGAACTCCCTTGCAGCCTTGGATGGGGTGGGGTTACCCTGCCCGGAGTGCTGGCGGCATATTGAACGGGTAGCCCGAGCAAGACGCGAGGAAAAGCTTCCACCGATGTATCTTTACTTGTGCGTGCCTACTGAGAAGGCCGCCCTGAGGGCGATGTCACGTGCCAGGCAGCAAATCTCACACCTTAAAGGTTACATTGATATTAACTTTGTGATCGAGTAGGGGGAAATTTGTTTTTACTCTTGTGGAGTGAAAAAGTGCAAGAAGAGAAACTTGAGGTCTAATGAATGTATCATGCATACATCCATCCGTACATTTGGTGTTGATACTGTATAAGATACAGATTTATGTGTTCCAGGTAATGAAATTAATTTCAGCATTAGATGTGTAGGAGGCTAAGCCATCCACACGTGCTGCTGTTTTCAATGATATTGGCGTGGGCTGTTGCACATAAATTCGTATGGCTTGTCTGATTTTCTAATTTTGGTCTTCTATTATAATCTTTTATCCTACCCTCGCTTCACGAGTATGTTTTCATCCAATGCACGACAAGAATGGACGTCTTCCCACCCAAGCAAGCAACATGCGCAGCGTGCGGTCACCCATCCCGCTTCCAGAGCCCGTTTTATGCAGCGCCATGAGGCCAATTAGTGGGAGGTCTGCGCCCCCGAAAAAAACTTCCACCAGCGGCGTCCCTTCCATTCTGGCTCAACCCAAAGGGCGGGAAGGGCGTCCAGCTGAGCAGCGGATCCCCCATCTCTCCTTTGAGTCCTTGACCGAGTCCGAGTCAATGGCAATTCGTTTGTACCGCGATATTTGCGCGTATCGCGATCACCCGCCTGGGATGAATGCCGAGGACCCCTGTCGTGCATTTCCCGATGAGCTCCTCCTCTTCTCCGCGTTTCCTCAGGCTCCTGAAGGGTTCCGTGAGGGAGGAGAAGGCCGCCCCTGTGTGGGTGGCAAAAGACGACGGTCGATGGCATCCCGCTGGGGCTCCTCCCCGGCACTGCTGCAGATTTTCCTGCAGACCCACCTCCTTCCCGTCGAGCGGGTTCGCGAGGAGGGCGACGGGAGCGCCGTCGCGATCGCCCGGTGGGTGGTGGAGCACTGCTACGGAGGGCCTGGCTGGTGGGGGGGGGGGGTCGGCCGACGGCACCTGCGGTGGGAAAGAGGGAGGGGAAAGGGGGGGGGGTCCGTTGATGCCGAGGGAGCTCCTTGGCGAGGTCGTGGTTTTGCTCGCGCGTCGGGGCTGTCTGGGGGCGGCGGCGGCACCATCATGGCTTTTGACTCTCCTCTTCGAGGCCCGGGAGCGAATCGAGGCGCTGGCGGCTGCGGGCCTGGGAAATGCGGCGGGTGATCCCGCCGAGCCAACCGCGCTCCGTGCGGCATGCCAGACGAGGTGGGGCGGGATGACCCCTGATGCAATCATGAATCCCTCGCAGCGCGTTAGGTGGGCGGGCTGGAGGCTGGCTGAGGACATCGTGCGCACCGTATACGCCCTGCAGGCGCTCGGCAAGAATGTCGGTCATGCTCCTGGTGGCGGGGAAGGCGTCGAGGGTGGTGGGGCCTTGTGGTCAACTGGTGGCGCAGCGGATATAGGTCTTGCATCCCGTCAATCGTCTCCGTGGGTCTTTTTTTCATTCCGATTTTTTGTCCATTGTTTGGAGATAGCGCTGCATGAATTGGGTCTGCTGTGTGGTCAGGGCAAGGCAGGTTTATCGCCACCCGTAGCCCCCAATACGGCGGTCGCGGGCAGACAACCAAACCGAGAACCTCCGGCGGCTCAGGTTACGAGTGAATCAGAGGGAGCAGAAGCACTCGGCGCTACAGAAACCTTAGCGTTAGAAGCGAGGGGCCAGGACAATTTGCATTCCTCTTTCTGTGTTGATGTTCTTCTTCAGACGTGCTTTTTAATTAAGCAACACGAGGAGTTCCCTTTAGTACCCACATCATTGCAGAAAAGTACATTGTCATTACTGTTGAAGGGCGAAGGCGAAAAGAGAGAAGCGTTCTCCAGAGGGGGGGCGCACGCGTCACAACAAGTGGTTGATGAAAGCGTAGACGAAAACAGAATTAAAATACCCTTAGAGCATCGATGGCGTGAGCTTACTCAGATGGTATGTTTGAATGTCGCAAGGCTGCGCGCACACGATGTTCGAACAGCGATTCTCGTCGATGCGTTGCTAACATGAGTAGGAGTGCTCTATAGTAAAAAAATACGAAGCGGAAAAGTTTTGGTAGTGTAAATGTGCACACCTACAAACTTACAGTGTGTTTACAGATTTTCCATATTTACCTGCTATCTTCTTTTATTTTTTTTATTTCACCTCCTGCATAGCCCAACAGTGTAATGCAGCTTACAAAGATGATTTCAATTGCTTCCGAGTTAGCTAATGAAATATTCCCATGTGTGAACCTTTCTCAACTTTCTGTCCTATAACTTATTTGACTTGTAGCACATGCTCTTGGGACGTTTCCTGGCAAATTCAGTTTGCTTGATGAATGCCTCATGATAACACAGATATTGTGAAAGACGATAGCACATGAGACAAATGATTTTAACTTACAATGAGCGGAATGGAGGGGGAATACAAATTCTAAATAAGCCGACTACATGTTTATTACATTTTTCTTATTCGTTTGCCCGACGTTTTGAACTTTTTATTATTACAAGAAGATACTCTTTCCAAACTTATATCACTTACTGCCGAGCACACTTAAGTTATAACCTTGATTAGTTAATAGGGGAAATAGTAGTTTACATATATATACATATAATGTGTAGTTGTAAAGGAAGTTAATGACTAACAAGCGACACAATTTATGCAATGGGTGTGAATTGGCATGCTCAGTCGAAGCCAAGACCCAAGACATTGAGGAATCATCGATAGGTAAAACACAATTTGAATTTTCACCCATATTTCAGCCCACAGACCCGATGCATAAGGAATATGAGTATTACAAGATCCCCGGCAGCGAGAAGTTCGTGGAAGAGGTAGAGCTACTGGGTCGAAGAGTTCTCAAGGTCAACCCTGAAGCGCTTACGGATTTGGCGTTCCAGGCGTACACCGATATGCATTATTTCTTCCGTAAAGATCACTTGCAAGGCTGGCGCAACATCCTTGATGACCCTCAGTCCTCCGATAATGAACGCTTTGTCGCCGATACGTTGTTGAAGAACGCGTGCGTCGCCTCTGCTATGGTGCTGCCCACGTGCCAGGATACCGGCACAGCTATCGTTCTTGGCAAGCGCGGGGAGCTTTGCTGGACAGGCGGTGAGGATGAAAAGTACCTCTCCAAAGGTATCTTCGATGCATACACTAAGCAATTCCTGCGCTACAGCCAGACCGCGGCATTGGATATGTTCAAGGAATACAATACCGGGGACAACCTTCCCGCACAGCTTGACCTGCTCGCGGGGCCAGGCAATGAGTATGAGTTCCTCTTCATAGCTAAGGGAGGTGGATCGGCGAATAAGGCTTTCCTATTCCAGCAGACTAAAGCCCTGTTGAACCCTAAGTCACTAAAGGTGTTTATTGAGGAAAAACTCAAAACCCTTGGCACCTCCGCATGCCCGCCATACCACTTAGCCCTCGTGATTGGCGGAACAAGCGCAGAGATGACGATGAAGACAGTCAAGCTTGCGAGCTGCCGCTACTACGATAGCTTACCCACCACCGGCAGTAAAGGTGGACGCGCGTTTCGCGACCTTGAGTGGGAAAAGATCGTCTTGGATATTGCGGCGAACTCCGGTATTGGCGCGCAGTTCGGTGGCAGGCACTTTGCCTCGCAGGCGCGTGTGATCCGGCTACCGCGGCACGGCGCATCCTGCCCGGTCGGCTTAGGGGTCTCTTGCAGTGCCGACCGCCAGATCCTGGCCCGTATCGACAAGGACGGGATCTTTCTGGAGAAACTGGTGCGCGATCCCACACCATACCTGCTCGCGATTCCCCCTCAAAGGAACCTCAACTCCGTTGAGGTTGATCTTCATCAGTCCATGGATGAGATCCGGAGTTTGCTGAGCCAGCACACTGTAGGGGCACGTGTCATGCTCTCCGGCACGCTCGTCGTCGCCCGTGATATTGCCCACGCTAAGATTAAGGAGATGCTCGACAACGGGGAGCCAATGCCGGATTACATGAAGACATCTCCTATCTACTATGCGGGGCCGGCGAAGACACCGGAGGGCTACGCAAGCGGGTCCTTTGGGCCCACAACAGCCGGCCGCATGGACTCTTATGTGGATTTGTTTATGTCGAAGGGCGGCAGCTTTGTGACGTTGGCAAAGGGAAACCGAAGCAAGGCCGTAACAGACGCGTGCAAAAAGCACGGTGGCTTCTACTTAGGCAGCATTGGTGGACCAGCGGCAATCTTGGCCAAGGAAAGCATAACGAAGGTCGATTGCATCGCATTTCCAGAGCTTGGAATGGAAGCAGTTTGGCGCATTGAGGTGGATAGCTTTCCGGCGTTTATTGTTGTGGATGACAAAGGCAATGACTTTTACAGTGGCTTGCTTTAGAGTGACACCATTTTTTTTGGGCCCAAAACATGGCGCTATAAAGGTATTCCCCTTTGTGAAAGCTCGAGTAAATCGGGAAAATATTAGCTTGTTGTTGGGATTTAAAAGCGAAAATAGGAGAGAAAGCATGTCCATTCAGCCACATTTTCCACACAGGTGTATGTGCGTATATATACGCACATACACCTTTCTGCAGGTAGGATTTGCTGATGCCCAGCGTTTCTATTTTTCCTCCTTTAGGACTCAACATTTCCTCCAACCTAAGAATTTTATGTGAGACTATGATATTTCTTAGTTTTGCTTCTTAGGGTGGTAATTCTTTTATAAATTTAACGGTTTCTAATCCCTCTTACTGTCACTTTATAGTATAGTATATATATATATATATATACATAATATCTATCTATAATTGAGCACAAGGTGTTTGTATTTTTGAGAAGTTCAAAAAATGTGCAAAAATGAAATTCGACTAGATGACAGTAAGGAGAGAAATGTCGACTATTGGAAAGCATACTTTGTGGAAAATGTGGCTGACACAAGACAATAATACTGATTAAAAGTAGTTTGGAATAGATACTTGATGTTTTCGATCCGACAAAAATATATATATGATTATTTGTTCCTTTCCTGCTAACACGCACGCAAAAAACGCAAATATATATTAATTGAACCGTATAATTGTCCTTTGGGCACTTAATTTCAATAAGTAATTCGTTCTTACAAAACAAATTCGAGTTTTATCTGCTGACAGCTCTTCAAAGTATAGCATCCATTCCGTTTCGGAGCATTTTCTATCCTACTTTCATCCCCCTCCCACCCCCCAAAAATGGTAATTAACAAAAACAAAGATATATATTATAATAGTCAAACCGCAGAATGCCTCCTGTCCAGCAACAAGAAAGTGAGTCAAGCACCGTTCTAGATGATGAAGCTGATGAGAAAGCTCTCTTCCAACTTTCATGGGTAGATGTGCTTTCCAGGCTCTTTAGTAATGTCCAGCCAGTTCAGGAGCCTGAAGTATCACCATATCCAGTTGTTAACATCAAATACAGCTCTGCTTTTGATCTTACCATGGGGTATTATCGTGCTCTCCGACACACCATGACGAGTTTACACGCCCCTAAAGCTTTATCTATGGATGTTACGACTTCATTGTCGGCAATTGGTGGTCGTGCTGCGTGTGCAAAATGGATGCTGCTGCTCTCCTTTGCTCTACGGCACTGTATTGCGCATTACACAATTTGGAAGGATCGCCGAGACTTTATTTTATGCCCCGCGATATTCCAATGGGCGACGCAGGAACAGATTCCTTCCATTGACTTTAATCAGTCACCAACGTTCTTGGGCTCACAAACTTCGCTTGAAGGGCCGGCAAAACTGTCCGAAAGCGAAAGGCAGGCGATGCAACAAAAATACCAGGATCTGGTGCGGCAGTGGCTCCCACGACGGGAGGATCTCGCCGCTCCAAAACACAGGGAGTCAAAAATAGTCGATCATTGGTTTAGCCTCTGGCAAGCAGTGCGGTGGGAGCTACAGACGATTGACTGCTTCAGTCGGCTCTATCACAAGAACTTTCAGGTATGGCATCACCGAAGGGAACTACTGAGCTACGTTCTGAAGACCATGGAGACGGATGATGGGAAGTTTTCGTCGGTGATGGCTACCACCGCCGACTTTGAGGATTACCTCTTAGAGGAGCATGGGATGACCTTTGCGGAGATCGATGAGCGTGTGGTTTGTGAGGCTGTTCTGTGCCACAAAGACGCCAAAAACTATCATATATGGCTGCACCGTTCTTGGTTTATCTCTGCATTTTCATTCCTCCTCCAGCTTCCAGAAGACTGGGACAAATGGAGGACGTTTCTTAGCATGTTCCCAGAAATCCACTGCCATGACGTAATCATCAACGCCAATGCGGAGGACTTTGCGGTGGATCCGATCTGGAGGGAGATCAACTGCAGGCGATTGCCGCTTCCATCATGCCCTTTGGCCGATGAGGTTACATTCACATCTCATATGATTCAGGAAGACCACCTAAACAATTCTGCCTGGTGTCATCGTTTGTTGATCATCAAGAAGCATCTGATTGAGACCCTGTTGCAGCAGCATCACGCACAGCTGCGGTGCGACCAGAGGCGGCAGGTGGATGCAGCCAAACTGAGGGATGTGATTAGCGCGGTATGCCGACTGGAGGTTGACTTTGGCTTGCAGTGGGCAGTTGTTGAACCCACAAATGAGTGTGCCTTTGTTTACGCACGTTCCGTAGTAGAGTTGCACCAAGCGGTGATGCTGCGTCTCTTGCTGCTCGATCGTGCACTGCAGGACTCCTCAGACTCCCCAGCATGCGTGGATTTCTTGCTCTTGTCGGATCTTTTGCCACCTTTGGCTTCTGTATGCACCCAACACTGTCTTTCGGAGGACCTATCCTGCATGGGCAACACACAGCGGTCGCACCTACGTGCATATGAAGAAACCAATCATAATTCAAGCAGAACATCACGTCCCTTCCGATACTCGATTAACGACCTTGTTTATCGTATTCGCAAGTTGTCCTGGAGTGAATACCTTGGCACTTTTGCGTTACTGATATTTCAAAAAGAGATTCTATGCACCCATGTAGCGCCGCGAGTGCAGGAGCTTCGGCAGGCTTTCGAGCAAGCTTCGCTTGAACATGTCGCACCGCCACCTTCTCAAGATTCCGCTGTTGACGACAAGGAAGTTGGGCCGGTAAGGGCAGCTATGTACGCTAACACTTCTCAATTCATGATTGATAACCTGTGGCAGGTTGTAGCCGCGCAGTATCACTCTGCGTTTCACTTCCTGGAGCAGACGTGGTTGCTCTATGGAGATTCCTCCTTCAGGGCCAGCGTAGCGCAAATGCGGCAGCCGGAGGTCTACGTCGCGCACGGTGTCACGTCGGATATGAGGACGCCGAGTTCTGCAAAAGCCAAGGATATCGCGGCGGCGAAAGCAGCCGCTGATGCGTTGTCACTCACGAACGATAATATTAGCTCCAAAGATACAAACCTAACCGCAGCGGTAGATTTTTTTACGACTGTGGAGGCCGAGGCACTTTATCTAGCTAAGCGCCTGTTAATAGAAGATTCGATTCGGAGCAAGTACTGGAAGCATGAGGCATGGACAGTATTATATCGTCAATATTAAAATGGAAATATATAAATTACCATGTAATGGAAAATGGGGTTGCTTCTTGAAATAGTGGCCTTATTAGGACTCAATTTTTGTGAGAAAGGTAGACTCCCAAGTCCGAATGCATATTTACTATTGCCTAATTTATGTTAAAATTGAATAAAGTGGCATTTTAAAAAAATCTTCAAAATGAATTATTCAGGCACATTATAGTTCTTACTGCGTGAAAAGCTACTCTGATTTCATTTATTTACTTTTCCCGCAAAGGTGGGATAAAATTTTTCGTTTCATATCGTTCTTTACTTCTGCATGAATCAATATTAGCATACCAAACTTTTACCTTGGTCAGATTTCTGTTTTATGTTCATGAGTACGTCCTTGCTGCATTAGTATCTTGAAAAGTAAGAACTAAAGTCTGATATTTATTTTTCGTGATACAGCAAAGTCAAATCAAGATAAGCTCTAAGTAGACTTATGGATCACTTTGACACTGTAACTCGTAGTGTAGCACTTCCGATGTTCAGATGGATGGTGAATTGTGCGTATGTTGCTCGGGAACGATATGTAAAAGAGTACGAATGACTTGTTAGCACCTTTTCCTTGTTATTAACAGATGCGCAGGAGTTCAGCGACAAAACGTAAATGAGGAAAACTGCACAGTCCTCAGCTTACATATCCACGGTACTATATCAAGCAGTTGCAGGATAGGCTTGTTATGGATGTCAATTTGGCAGACGTACTACAAATTGGATGTATTGAATAAACGGAATGTGCCACCACAACGGTGTCGTATATAAGCTCAGCTAGTTATCAGATCTGAGATGCATCCTATGAGATCCTTCAGTCATACCTGCATGGGAGGCTGTTTATCATCGCGATCATAACTCTTACACATTAATTATTACTCTGCTATTTTTTTTCAAAATTATGGGTTGTTTTTATGTCGATCCATCTTGAATTGGATAACTATCAAAACATGAAAAATATACGTATTATGGCGTTGATGAAATGTGTCTACACTTCATGGTTTTGTGGATCGCTTAACCCACTTTGTGTTCTTGTCTTTTATTGTCTTACGCAATTTGATACCTTCCGAGCCGAATGAAGTGAGGAAACAAACACTGAAAGGCGGGTAAGTAATAAGCGAAAACTAATCTGTGGTGTTACCACTTCTGAAACCTCCGATCAACAACATTGAGTCTTACAGCAATGAAAAGGTGTGGTATCTCTTTTTTTAGCCGAAATCATGAGCGGATTCACTCACGCGCCACAACACCTTGTCCGATCACGAACATGTCTGCACAAAGACTTCCTCTGTCTTCATCATCAAATGTTTCATCTGGAAATCTCTCCAATGACGACAGAGGTGCCTCAGCAGGACCGTTGCCTTACCACCACTATGGGGACAACCTTTATATTTATGAGGCCAAACTGAGGTCGTGCGCAGCCCAAAGTAGCACTTCTGTGCAGGCTGCAAGGCAACAACTCTTTGAGGTGCGACGTATTCGCTTGGAACACAGGGCGAATGATAAGAAAAGGCGGCTATGGTTCTCCATGATTATTACTGTGTTGCTATGGATGTTTATGAGTGATCAGGCCAATCGGTACTCTGCCATGTTTACCCATCTTCAGACCCAAGAATACGCCAAGGCGTACCTTCCGGTGAAGTGGGTTGTCGTTAAATAATCTTTCCGTGGCCCTAACCCCCCTTCCTATATATGATGCGGAAGCAAGTTGTAGTAGTGAGCAGACATTTTCACAAAGTTACATTTCTTGGTCATGAATATCACTTTCATTTTTTATTGTGGAAAGGTGAAGACGGTGGGCCTAGTTGTAAGTTTTATTGTGGAGAAAGTATAGAGTCATGGGCTCACTGACTCAGGTCCATATCTATTCGCGCATAGATACGCACGTTGACCAAAAGAAAAGCAAATAGAAGTATGTGCGTGCTCTAAAACAACAACAACAGAATATATATCATTTTCTTTTTTTGATATGCGTTCTTTTTTTTGGCCTCTGGTCACTTATCATCTTAATGTGTATTTTTTTTTCCGGTTCTTGGAAGGCTTTTTTCCACTTAGATTCCCTGCTGTATTGGATACAATGTCCTTAAGGATTGCAACCGACATATTTTTACGAAAGGCACAGGAGTACAGCTTCGCACGAGAGGATAATACAACAAACCTATTGCAGAGTAGCTACAACCGCGAAGTCGAGCGCATCGATCATGAACTTCAGCAATATCGCCTGCGGAAAGCAGCGACCTTTATTCCACCATTATACCGCCGCCGATGTGACCCCGCAGCAGAGGATGTGATTCACTTATTACGTGAGACCAGTAAATTGTTCGAGCTCAATCTTCGTTTTAGAGAAATTGAAAAGCTGGATGAAATACACGCAAAGCTATGGAGACTCTTGAACAAGGGAGGCCGCATGTACATCACGTTACAGGAATACAAGGAAGTCTTGAGTGAGCTCGAAAAGGAAGGCTCTGATGCCGACGAGGAGGAAGATCGTGCGATGACGGCGGCTCCAGCATTCATTGCCCTTACTCCGGCCGCGCGTTCCGGCAGCGTCACGCGCACTTTGACGGATTCGGTGACTTCCAATAGCCCGCTAAGGTCTCCTGTCCAGCCCCCCTCAGGGGATCGAAGCACCCCGGACGGTGGTCCAGCACAGCTCGTGCATGATGAATCGGAGTCCAAGTTGAAGCCCCCGACTCCCCCTCCGGCTCCCTCTGACCCCTCCCACAGCACCATCGTCCCCACTCGAGAGCAGAGCGTGTACCAGGTGCCCAGGGCCCCCAGCACGCTGAGCGAGATACTTTACTTACCATACGTGGATAGCCCATGCCTCGGACTTGGGCTGTTTTTGTCCTGCCCATGCAGTCCACAGCACCCGAAGAGCGTTGATATTGCCGCTATTTATCAAATTTTCGTGAAAAAAGTGTCCCTGGTCAAGTGTGAGGCAGAACTGCTGATGTGGGATGCCGACAATGACGGTAAACTGACAGAAGAGGAGATTGAAAGTTATGTTGGAGACTTGGTGCCACGTATCGCGGCGTTGCGGGGGATGTCCGAGACCAATCTGCCTTTTTACTGCTGTACTGTCACCCGCCGCATCTTTTGGGACCTCGATCAGGGGAATCGTGGGTTTATTCGCATCAGTGCATTGCTGCAAAGCCCTGTCATGGATGAATGGGTGACCTTGCAGCTTCAGGCTGAGGATAGTCCAAACAGCTGGTTTGGTGCGATAGCAACGCAGCAACTGTACGCGAAATTCCTGTTGTTAGACACACGCAACGCCGGCACTCTCGATGTGGCTAGTCTTAAATTATACAAGAAGGGTTTACCGACGATCATCGATGATGGACTGCCACCAGATGTCAGCCCACTTAGTTCGCTTTTTATTGATCGATATTTCGAGACAAATACAATGCCGACTAATCGGGATATGGATTATCGAAGGTTTGTAGACTTTGTGGTTGCCGTGGAGATGCTACCACAGTGTAGCCGGCCGGTTTTTTGGTGGGATATCCTAGATCTTGAGGGGACGGGGGTCATAACTCCACTGATAGCTAACTTTTTTTTCAAAGAAACACATGCCAAGCTGGTATCTGCCAAGCTGGATGTGCCTTCCATTGAGTCGGTGATAGAAGAAGCTTTTGATCTTATCCAAAGTGCGGAGCCACTGCGCATCAGACGAGAGGAGTTTATTGCATCACCTCAAGCAGGCCTGTTTGCGGGGATGTTAGTCGATTGCTTATGTTTTTGGACCTATGAGAGCCGCGAGCATAGGTAATGAGCTTTTCTTGCTAATTCTTTTTTTTTTCTACGTACCTGTTAGAATTGTTAGAGAACCTTTTGCCTATTCTATATGCCGTAAGATGGAGAGACGGTTTTGGGACTCAGCACTGTCCAAAAGTTTTGATATTTTACTCTAAGGATAAAAAGGGAAAGAAAATCAAGGAACATCTTTCTGCGAACTACCAACATGATGCTAATTGCTTATCTCTCTCTCTATATATCCATATCTATATATGTATATATAAACATAGAATTTTTCCACTTTGGATTTTCATTAGAAATGCAAGTTTGTGAAACGTTTAACAGGAAAAAATGGAAATTGGTGATGTTGATATTTCGAAAAGAAGCTTTCACGTGCAGACGCGTCACTATTCACTGGCACGGACAATTCACCAGGAGAGTCGAGTACTTCCTATACAAAGCAAACCCCTCAAGCATTACGAAGGCCATTTGTATCTTCAGAAAAACCTGGACACTTCAAGCTCTGCCGACAGCGACATGCCGTGTCGTGTGAGCGGGGCTAGGTTGCCATTAGGTGTCCATGTCGTAAGAATACGAGCGCCTGATTGTGTAGCAGCTGAAGGATCTACACAAGAGCTTTACGCCTCCATAAAAGTTACAGCTTCCATTCAACATTCTTTGGGAAGTGAAACTGAGCTGAGACCGTCTACATCATCCGTCACGCTTGAGGTCCCGGTGTTAGCGTGTACTATTTGCGAGGAGGTGTCTGGATGCCAGCCGAGACTGACCACAGACGACATAACCTCAACAATGTTAAGCAGCATTCTCCAGGGTAGCGGAATTCCCAAAGGTCTTACTGCATCTGTTGCATCGTGTGAGTCGTTGTCTCCGCCGTGTGTAGTAGTGAGTGGGAAAGGGGTAGATTGCACGAGGATGCATGGCGGTGCGCGAAGTAGAGGTGTTGCAACAACGAGATTCAGACAGCGATGGGTGTGGTTCATTGATCTAACACAGCTTTCGCCGCAAGACAGTACAGTCCTGATTGACCAAACCACAGGATGGATCTTAGTTCCCACGGCATTAAAATGCCAATACGATACATTTCCTTTGCACAGTAGCGTCCCATCAATATCGCAGCGCACCACGTGTGAGGCTTTAACTAAAAGAAGGGGTCTTTTTCATAGTGGTGAGAAAGGCAGTCCCATCGTGAAGCAACGACGGGTTGTGTTGCTGAATGACGTATTGGCGCTTAACCATTTAATCCAAAAGACTGATGCTGAAGGGGGTGGTTGCATAAGTGCTGAGATTCCGGTATTGAGTTTTAAGCTAGTGTCGATTAATCTACGCAAACGATCACATCGGGGATAGGGGAGGAGCGTAAAGAGGGAGGTAGCACTCTGTGCTTTGCGCCTATGCTTTTTTTTCTTTTTAGGGAAGAAAGACTGTTTAATTAGACAGAAGTTATGCTATAGTCATACGATGAATTCATGACATGACTCTTCAACGTCAAGGAGAAAGGGAGATTCCCTTTCAATTCTCTTTTTGTGCTCTATATAATTTCCTATTACTTTGCACTCTTTCAAATGTCTTCTTTTGTGTATTCAGATTTAATGTCTCTGTGGGTTTCCGTATAGCACCGAGGAGATCTTTCGGATCACATTTCACGGTGGACATAATGGCTAAGGGAACGCTCTCTGCAAGATTTTCGATTTATACAAGCTTATTCTACACAAGGGGAACACTGTGATTGTCAATATTAATTTAGATGAAATAAATATAATCCATAAATTTATGTCAATACTTTTTTTCCATCCTGTTTCTCCAATTATAATGACTGTAGCATGGGAGCTAGGATCAAATACGATGAAAACATCAGTACATGGATGGGAAAAGGACCCTTTATTTCGCGTCATCGCGTTCCTGGATAATACTGGTGTGCAGTTATTTAATCTGGCTGATGAAGTAGACTTGCATGGCAACTTTGTGCATCTTGAAAAAATCTTTGCCTTGGGTACACCCATCCACACTATCCTTGTAGCAGGACTGGCTGCGCTGCGCGAGAACATTCGGACATTGTTCGCAGATCTCGGGGAGCAAGAGTCCCTACTTCAAGTGATAGGGTCGGGCGACATTGAGCTTGCACTGAACAACACCTCCGTTGATGAAGCAAGCGCAAAGGCTGAAGAGGGGTTTGGTTGCAGCCACATGTCGCACGTGGTTGCTACGTCGGAAGCGTTTTCACACCTACCTCCACAGACAGAGTGGAGTGCAAAACTACTCCAGCCGAAGTCTTTTAGGGATTTCAATGATACATTTGAAAACGGATTCCCTCTTCCGCTGCTTTTTCGGCTAAAGGAGGCTTTCGGTCTGTTACATCGCTCAGACTTTGTCTCGGCCACTCCCTACCCGTTGGTCGAGCAGTTCCTCATTGACGCCATGGATCGCTGGATTCCACAGCGGTCAATCGAGGAAAATGAAGCCATGATTTTGGCGTGTGGTGTAGAACCCTCAATCGTGGCGGACATCCGGGCGAAAGGGGATCACACTCCAGTTAAATTTGTGGACTTTGTTGTGGATGTTGTTTTTCCGGTGCCGCCGACAGACGCAGACACTGATGGGATTCCTTTAGATTGGTTAATTATTTCGTACGTAAAAAATCACGAAGCAGTGGATGTGGACATCGAGAAGATATCTTCTTGGGATGAGAAAGGCGAGGTGAACCATACTGAAGGAGGCCCCTTGAAGAACGTGCGAGATGAGTCGATTAGCCAATCAGAGACGAGTGGTCTGTGTGGATGGAATCCGGACGATGGTGAGGTTTACCTCAGTGAAAGCAACCTCGAGCAATTCATGCGAGATAAGCCTTCTCTTGTGCCGCGTGAAATTCTAGTAAAGATACGTAAACCTTGGCAGGACCCCACCATCACTACGTTTGAGCTTGAGAACCACTACACGGTAGCCGAATTGCGGGCGATTGTCAAGAAACTGGCAGGGCTTTCCCGGGGCCCACCAAGCGAGCTTAGCGCGTTGGAATCCGACCTCGAACATCCTATTCATCCAAGTCTGCTAAGGCAGGCTGCAGCCGCAAATAATAGGGCGTCCTACGTGCGTATACTCATGGCCCTGCACTCCTCTTCACACACCGAGGAGAAATGTTTAGGAGAAAACGCTAGTGATGCATTGGATGTCAGCTTTCAAGGTCATGAAAAGGGAGAAGACCCTGGAAGGGAAATCGTGTTGAGTACAGACTTGAAATACACTCAAGAAGCCGAGTTCAACATCAGTGATCCGTCTCTGAGCAGCACCCAGCTGGTCCGTCACTTCAAGCTACAGGAGCTCAAAGACTATATTGTGAATGTGCTCCTGGAGCCGAACGTAGCAAGGACTAAAAAACAGTGTGCTAACCTTATTGTCAAGAAGCGTCGAAGAAGTGAATGAAGAATTAAGGGACATAAAGTTCTCTAATAGTGGTTCCAACGCACCGTACTGCACATTCTAGTGTGATATAAAGCCAACTATTTCCCCAGGAAACGAGGATAATATGAAGAAGCGGGGCAGGTAGTTGATAAGAGGTAATGTTTTTCGTCTGCATGGTCCTTCGGTAAGTGTTGCCTGCTGCTAGAAATTATACTCTTATAAGTAAACAACACGTTAAATATATGGTATCCCTTCCATGCATTGTGTCTCCTCTATCAGGACTTTTTTTTTGCTTAGCCTTTATTACTTTGAACTGATGAGGTAAGAACGGGGTGGTAAATAAAATGGTGAGTGTTTCTTATTTTTTTCGTCGGAAATACATGCACTCGCCCAGTTTTCGGCGTCTTCCTGTGATGGGGGTGACATCTCTCTTGACGAGGCACGCAGCTCCATATACCTCAAGTGCACGTACGACGACATCATCAGCGAGAATCGTCAGGCACTCACATGACAGCAAGCGAGACGCCACTCCACCGGAGTATTTGCCCTTCTCATCCCCTAATGAAATCGAGAATATTGTGGAGAAAGGAGGAAGCGCCGCTTACCCGGCCCAATCCTCACCACTCGGGATTTGTGAGGTGTCGTATCTGGGACTCGACATAGAGGGGGATGGAAACTCGTCCACCAGGTTCGACCGCAGGTTCAGCGCCACATCTGCTACAGTGTGCGACAGTGGAGAGAATGAAATAATGGACTTCAGCAAAGCCAAGGCTCGTCTTGCATTTTATACTTCGCTCCTTGGAAGCCGCGCCCTGAGATCCTCCCCTTCGACGGTTCCCTCCCTTAGCGCGGACGAGCTCAGGGAAGTACGAAACGTCTTGGACTGTATAATTCAGTCCGATGATCCACACAGGAACCACTGTGTACTTGATTCATTCCGGGTAGCCTACCACTTTGGGTTTCCCAAAAGATGCTGTGAGCTCTATACCTCCGTAGCCCGGGATGCTTTGCGTGGGGGTGGTAATGTAGAGAGTCGTGCGCCAGTTCCCGAGGCCATCCTCATGTCGGAAATCGTCCTGGCGGCGGCAGCGGCAACGATGGACTTGGAAACACTGGGGTTATGTACGAGCGTCGTTGAGCAGATGGCCTCTTCTGATTGCGCGTCTTTTCGAAAGTCCTTCGAGGCGTCAGCTCCTACTATCGTTCCGGCGCTACGGCTGTATTGGTGTTTGGTACTGCTTTTGCGGGATCACCAGTTTACGCCAAAGCGCACCGCCCCTGTCGTTCCCACGGGTAAAGAGGTGCTACATGACGCTTCCATTCCCACAGAGATGGACGTGGCTCAGCAACTTCATGCCCCACTCACAGCCCTCTCAACGCGGGTTGCAGCTGTTTTGGGTGTTGTCGAGAAGAATAGGCTGGCGTTTCTCACCTCGTCAGTGCGCCTCGCGCTCTATAACGTGGACGCCGCGGACGGTCAGGCCGCTGTATACCATCAGGTGTTTCGCCACTGGTGTCTCCAGCCTGTGAAGGAGCCCAGAGGGCAGCAAATGAAAGCTCACCACGGCCGTACCCCAATCAAAGGGGGGTATTCCTTGTCTTCATGGCTTACGCCTCCCTGTTTGAATGAGCTCATGCGCAGCGCCATTCACGCGAAGAGGCGTGATATGGCCGAGGTCTATTCCCTCCACATAGACCTTTTTTGGCGGCATCAGGCGAGACCACCTCTGACTCAGCACGGCTCATCTGCAGTGTTTAATACAGAAAAGTCACTTGATTACTACGAAGATGCGCTTGTTGGGGGTATGATGCGATACTTTTTATTCTCTCGGCAGACGCGGCGAGCCGTTCTGTGGATGCAGCGACTAACAATTCAATTTCCAGGATATGTGCCGAGCATCCAGGTGTGCAACGTGATCGGCCGCGTTGCGGCGGCTGAGCGAAACGTCTCGCTTTCGCAGTGGTGCCTGGGCCATCTTCTCAATGAAAAGCAGCCCATTCCCCCTACTTCAGCAGAGCTGTACTCTTGTCTGTGTGCCAATGCAAGGGTAGGCATCCCCAATTTCGACCAGGTCCTATACTCCCTGCAAGAGAATCAACTTCTCCAGCTCACCGAGGAGGAACTTCTGCACCTTCGGCTGCTTCACTGCAGGGGTAGCACGCAATGGCGGAATATTCCCAAAATGATTCTGCAAACTTCGATGTCTAAGGCAAGCCTCAACAGGGGTGATAGTGATACGGATTTAGCACCAGGGCCGACGAGGGTTTCCACCACCAATGACGATTACGAATCCCTCAGTATTCCCTGCATATTGGATGGCCATTTTGAGCACCTCGAAAAAAACCCTCGTAGTGTTTTATCGATACGAAACCTTGATCAGTTGTTGCTTGTTCTGCAAGAGAGTGAACATCCTCACTTTTTAGTTTACTACCGCTTCTTTCTTAGTCATTACATGAATCTTTTGAAGTTGGAGAAGCGGGCACAATGGGCCGGACTTGCCCTCGTCTGGGCATCGACACGTGTGGACAGGATGTCTAAGGAGGATATTCTGTATATCGCTTGGGAAGTTGCCCAGCTTCTGGGGTCGAAGCGAGCTGATGATTTGAAAGATTCTCGGGCGGTGAATGAAATCCTGGGTGGGATCTTGCCAAGCACTAAAAAAAGTTTACGTAGGAAATGGGAGAGGGTCTGCGCTCACTTTCCACAGGCCTGGTGGAGGCGACAGTTAGGCACAAAAATGAGACAGAAGAGGCATCAACTTTTACGCAATCCTCGCCTGCATGATGATAGTACTAAAAAGGGTGTTGACGCTTTGCCGATTGATGAATCGATGCTTAAGTCCGTTATTCATACATATGAATCTTCTCCGCTGCCGTTTGCGGGGTTCCTTAAGTATCCTACCCATGGATTATGTACCTGTCTACCGTCCACAGGGCTGTTTGATAGTGTCACGTTGTCAATCCTCCACACAGGCGACCCTTGTGATAGAATGGGGAGAAGCTCTTATTATTCACTGGCTTCTAAAAGGGAATGGTGGCGTTTTCACCACAGTACCTAGCGCTATGTTTTGGTTCGGTGTTCGTGTGCGTGTGTGTGTTTCATTTTCTGTTCCATAAGGAGGGGAGAAGGGAATGGGATTCACGAGCTCTCTCGGACGGTTAAGTATAATTAAAGGATTTATGATTGTGCTTCCCTACTTTTCTTGTTTTGTTCTTTTGCTATGTTACATTTTCGCCTTTTTTTTCTTACTAGGGGTTCACTTGTTTCACATATTGGGCGGTGCGTGATAGATAGTGTGTGGGGTACCCCTTTGGTGTTTATTGCTCTCATAATTAACATTTCAATTGCTGTCAAAGTTAAAATAAAGGTGAACAACACGAAGGATAACAAGAATGGGAGGTAAAGCAAAGCCCACGAAGCATACTGCAGCCGAAACGCGTCGCAAGGAGCAATTGGCAAACACAAACATGGGTGGCGGGTCGGTTGGATTACGAGATCGTATGGGTGGCCAGGCAGGCCATTCTAGGTTTATTTGCAAGATATGTATGTTGCAGGCCCCTGACCTCAAGTCCATGGGCCTGCACTACGAATCTAGGCATCCTGATGTAGAGTTCCTTGAGAGCGATTTTGAAGATCTCCATAAAAAGCACGGTGGAACCACAAAGGGAGTGGCGATTCACGGTAGCTTGAAGAAGGCACGAAACACTAAAAATGCATCTTAATGGGGCTGAGGGAGAGCTTGATAAAGGCTAAAAGGGCAATACTGGAAATTAATGTCGTAATATAAATTCTATGTCCCATTGTACACGCTTCGTAAAGACCCCCTCCACTCTTTTTCATTCTTGGGTGTGACCTTTTGTGATGTTAATTCTTTCATCATATCAGGGAATGACACAGAAGAATCTAATATCAATAGTAATAATATGGTGCATACGGTCTTTTTTATGCTTCGATCTTAGGTTAAACGAAGCCCTAGAGGTTGACAGAGTGACAACATGCACCAAAAAGAAATCAAATATTTCACTGTATTTCCCCTTCTTTTTTTTTTGTGTATTTACATTCCTTGTATGCCATTTATCAGCTGCAGGGAAGACTTCGCGTATTTGTGTACATCATGGGATCCAAATTGTTTAAACCGCTAACTAGCAACCCACAGCAACAACAAGTGACCTTGGAGGAGGCCACAAAGCGCCCCACTTTGAGTGCGGAAGACATTCCTTCACTGCATATCGTTCCACACGTTATCTATGCTACTCTTTCTGCGCATGTGTACAACGATGTGCAGCACATTACACCACTCCCAGATGGGTGGGAGGTGTTTCGGACGTGCGCCAGCTACAATTTGGACCGGGAGGGATTTTTTGCGATAGCTTATTTACATTACAGCCACCGACGATGTATCATCGCGGAACGTGGGACGTCGGAGGTGCTGGGGCTGCGTGCAGGGGTGTGGGTGTACTTTGAAAAGCCGACGATCCAGTTCTACCTAGCCGAGCAGTTCTCAAAGCAAGTCAGCGTTGATCTTTCGATGGTATACGATGACGATAGGTGGCACATAAGCTACACGGGGCACAGCCTGGGGGCCGTCATTGCGGCCCACCGCGCCGTGGAGGAAAAAACATTTGCTATCACGTTTGAGTCCCCTGGGGCACAGGAGTTCATCAGTAAAATCAGTAGGCATCACACCATCGATTCAAACATCGTTACATATCTGCGCGGACCCAATCCGATTAACACACTGCGGCCGCAGTGTGGTTATTTGTTGATGATTCCTACCCCGCCGGTGCAGCTCAGTAACTCGTCTTTGATCTTGTTTTCCCCACCACATAGCGACACGACGGGGCTCGTTTGTGATGAAATAAGTAGCGCACGTTCGGATTTAGCAAAACAGTCAACAACTCCCCCCTCAACGAGCAGACCTACGGTGACAACGGGGCTTGTGCAATCCAGAGATCGCGCAGCCGCTCCTTGCTCAACATCGCCTGCCACTATGTCTGTCGTGCCGCCTCCTGCAGCACCCGTCTCTGCAGCGCGTCTTTTTTTGAATTCCACGTCGCGCTTTCGAATCCCCTCAATACGGCCACAAGAATACTTGCGAGACTACATGTTGAGCGGCGTTGGATTCGGTATCCCGGAACTGCAGCAGTACGTGAGCAAAGTAGAGCCGATGGTACGTGTCATGCTTGAACGCACCCAGCAGGTGCATGCCGTGCACAGTATCATGGAATACTTTCTGAGGGGTGACAGGACAAGGGAAAAGGAAATCCTTCGATGGCCAGAGCATCTGATGCAGTTTATGGAGTACTGTAACACCACCCGCGCTCTGGAAGACCCCGACAATCAGAAACCTCACGTTAATGCAGCATATCGAGGGTTACTGCAACATCTGTATCAAGTGCGGCCCCGCCGACGAGATCGTATAGCAATCGACTATGTCAATTCGGAATCGGTAAAACTAGTGAGACTATGGTGGGCATGGGAGCCAGTGAAGCGCGTGACTCTTCCATTCACGCTGACAGAGCACAAGGCGCTGAACAGCATCCAAATCGAGGATGGGTTCTTAATTTCAAACGTCCCTGCCTTTTCAGCGTTGGAGGCCAAGCAGTTTTTGGATACAGTAATAACTCGCTCGGACGTGAAGGTGATTCTAGCGTCCACCTTAGTAGCGAACAATGGTTCCGATATAGTGATAAGCAAGTTGTAGGAGGGCCAGAAATTAGATGAGGGAGGCCAAGGTGAATTCCACATGCTAGGACACATGTCTGGAAAGAAGTCTGCACGTGTACAAGAAAGAGACAAATGTAAAAAAATTTTCGAGTGAGATGTGGATTTTCCTCTTTTTTCATAGTTAGAAAAAAATAGTCAAACTGTAAGGGGATTGATCTACATTACACAGTGCAATTATTTTGTGTAACGCTCAACTGGTAAAGTGTTGAAGTGCATCATGTTTCGCTTGATACTGACATAATAGTGCACTTCAATTCCTCCCTTTCATTTTTCTCTATGCATATTTCTCTCTTTCTCTTAACGCCATACCAGTTGTAACTGATACTTGTGCGCAGGAAAGTGATTTACGTCTAGTTGAATTCAAACCAAAATGGGCGAGTATTTTTTTTCCCTTCCGTCAATTCACTATATGAATTAAAAAATATATATCTATGAATGGACAAGAGCTGTGTACACCTTTGCGTGTTAGTACTTTTCGTTTCCACCCCTTTGAGCCGAATACAGAAATCTTGTGTTGATTCGACTAGTGGTAAGTTGTTAATATACTACTAATGTAGTTTTATCTTTCGAGTACAATCGATGTTTTTTTTTTTGTTCTCTTACAATGCGCTTTTTCTCTTTTAAATTTATCACTCGATAAAGAGCATATTTCCTTTGACTTCTATTTTTTTTTAGCTCGCCATTTGGTGCTCTTTCGTATAGCAATGCAGGCATCAGATATTGAGTGTTTGGCGCAGATGTTAGATAAAAACCACGCCTTTACTAGACCTCGTGGTCAAACCGTGGGCTATAGCCTACAGGACACCACAGAAGGTAATTCCTCTGCTGCAGCTCCTCCATCTCAGATTCAGCTCCCGTCAACCGTTGTGGACAAGCAGCTGCGCCTCCCCAAGCCATCCCATAGCAAACAGAACAAGACAGGCCAGGGGGAAGACTCCGCTACTGATGCGAATCGATTTGTTGGTAATGAGATATGGACGCAGGAGGAGCTACGGGTGATTTTGGAGTCTAATGCGTCGCAGGTATCTCCGCCTGGCGCGTTTCCTGCTGTTCGTTGCGCCCCGGCGGTTAATAGGGGAAATAGCAAGCTGTTGGGGCAGACTGCAACGGCGCCACTAACACCCCAGTGCGATCAAGAAGAGCCACTCTACGAAGTCCTTTACTTACAGCATCTCACAGCTGAGGACGTGTATTTAGGAATGGATTTTACCCGCGATAGTTCGAGCTTGGCATCTGACGGCATTGTGGTTAAGATCAAAATGCCGAAGCTTTCCGTACCACCGGAGTCGATTGAGCTGCATGTGGAGCCCCTCCAACTGATCTTGTCGACCCCGGAATATTTTCTAAGAGCAGAGTTGCCTCAGCAAGTCCAAAAGGGGATGGCTAATGCCAAGTGGGATGCGACGAAAAAGACACTGACCGTGCAGCTGATCTCAGAAGCATCCAAAAAGGTTAAACTGTTATGAGGAGGGAAAATAGTCATTGAGGAGGGTTTTTCCTATTTCCTTCTTTGACTTATGTATTCATTTTTACAGGAGAAAGTCCCTCGGTGCCATTGTGTGAATGCAATGAAAATATAAAATCTTGTTCGATGGTGTAAAATACTTTTTTTGTACCAAAAGTTAGGAGTTGGAAAGATAAGCTTGAAACTGTTTCACGTTCAACCTACCATGCTGTATTGTCTGTCGGTTACACATACAAGTAGGGGGAGATGGTGCGTGAACTGAAGCATATTGATCCTATTTCACACCGGTTGGTTTTTATTGCTGATATTATTTACAGTACAAAGTGGCATAAAAGGGAGCCTACAATTAGAACATAGAGAGTATTATTATTTTTATCAACACTAAATAGACTCAGTTCCACGCGCGCATCTCCAGTTCACCTCCGTAATCAAATGGATTACACTGATTTATACCTGTGGCGCAATAAGGCAAACCTGTTGCAGAGAGAGGGCATGAACACACCGCAGCAAAAGATGGGGGACCCCATACCATCCTCGACTTTAAACCTCAAGGGTGTTGCTCGGAGCATTGATCAGTTTGTGGGAGGCACGCTATCATCCCAAGAGTATACGGAAAAGCTCGAGGCTTTGGAGCAGCGTGTGAGTGGCTTTGATGAAAAGATCGTGAATTTGATACAGTTGATGAAGCTTTCCCAGAAACTCACCGAGGAGAAGAACGCGGAATTGCGTCAGGAGAACCAAGAGCTACGGGAGCGCATGGAACGGCAGGAGCACGCGATAAATCAAGTGTTGCACGAGCTAACAGTTTTAAACAATACAATGTCGTCGTCTTTAAAGGAGGCAATAGAAAGGGTCCAAAGCAGCACCGAAACGCAGATTTCAACGCATGTAGAACGTGCGCTTGAAAAGGTTGCATTTCTAACACAGGAGTTGGATGTAGTGCGAACCGGCGCCACCAGTCTAGAAGAGCGTCTCGACGAGGTCAGCAATGCACAAAGCAAGTCTTTGGAGACGTGGACGGTGGAGTTGGACACCATCAAAGCGTGGGCAAAACGCAACTTCCAGAGGCTAAAGCAACACATGGATCAGATTTGCTCTGAGACCTCGGTCATCAAGGGAGAGCATGAAGAGCTGTCCGCACGTATCCAGGAAGTGAGTTGTAAAGCTGACATAGAATGTAAGAGATTGCAACTTATCCTTCGGCAAAAGTCAAATGAGGCAGAGGCGCTGGAATCGTTGGTGAATAAGGAGCTTCGTAATGTTCGAATAGTGGCTCGTAAGCATGAAATTCTTCGTTCATCAGACCTTACACCAGTACCACGGGAGAGCATTAAAAAAGCGACTTTATGCGAAGAACTTAAATTCCCTAACAGGATTGAGGCTAGTGATAAACCATAGGACAACATCGTTTAGCTTTGCTCATTCAAATGTAAAATGCGAGCAGGCGAAATAAAAAAAAACTATCTCTGATTTTGTGAGGGGTGAATCCATGTTCGGATAGACATACCACGGACTTCTCTCTCTGTTTTTGTCTCCACTCAAATTTTCAAGAATAAAAAAACGTCACCAGCAGGATTCGAACCTGCGCGCGAGATCACAACTGATTTCGAGTCAGTCCCCGTAACCACTTGGGTATGGTGACACGAGTTCTCGGCAAGTATTTTTAAATAAACGTTTTATTCTAGTAATCGGTTTATGCAATGGGGCCGATCGATGGCAGGATGGCCGAGTGGTCTAAGGCGGGAGACTCAAGTTCTCTTCTATTCGTAGGCGCGGGTTCGAACCCCGCTCCTGTCACTTTTTCCTAACCAGTCCATGGGGTGGTGGAGGGGGTAAAATTCCCCCATTTGGGAGGAGGGTTCTCATTTATCAAATCCTGGGGATGTCACCTTTGCAGTTCTTTCTTTTATGCGGTTTACAGCATATGCGCGTGCTCAAATTCGTCTTTTTAATTTCTTCTCTCATTTCGTGTTCATTTCATGGTAAAACATGTTTTTTTTTTTATCGAGAACGCATTGCCCTTAATTTCCAGAGCCCGCCCGCAGCCTTTTTGTACAACCCCCATTTGGAAATGGGTGTGGTCAGTTTCGCCCCAGCTTGCTTTGGGGGGGGGGGGGGGTTGAATGTTCAAGCCCCTTACTATGGACTTTTGGTTTATTGCTATGTCGTAATATTCTGAAGGTATTATATAGTATTTGTGTGGGAGGTTCGTTGGGGTTAATTTCAGGAGGCTTGTTGGGGAGGGGGGGCACCCATTGTAATTGATCTGACGCCCAAATGGCTGATCTGAAGGAAATCCCTCGGGGACATACTCCGAGCATGTGTTGTTTTTTATGTGGGGGTTATCTTTGCATATTTGGTTGATGGATGTAATTCAGGTAATTTTTTTAATATTATTTTCTCAAAGCTGGATTTAGTGAGATCGTTGTAGTGTACCCACGGGCAAGGGCAGGGTAAAGAATATATTCTCTAAAGTGTTTTGTTCCTGGTTTACACGTTTATTTGTCTTTCACCCACTAGGGTTTTTTTTATATATACATGAATGCAAAGAACCATAAACGGGTACAGCAAAATAAATAAGAGTTGTCAATAGCTACCCCAAATACATGTTTGTACCATTTAAAACGCATCATTATTTTTATTGTATGCTTACACAAGGGCTTAATTTTATTTACATATGGTACCGCAAAAGTGTGGTGAGGATATGTTTATACTTTGAATTTTTCAGTGTGCATTTATTAACTTTTGCTCATGTTATTTTATCTTGCAAAAACTTTAATGTTATTTTTCTCCAATACGCTTTGCTTCTCGGGTTTCATTATTTTGCATTCTTAGAATTTCAATGGATGAATAGCAATAATTGTAATGAAGCTAAATAGGAAGATAAAGCATAAGAAAAAAACATATTTATACTCATACTATTTATACTATTAGTATTGATCATATTTATGTCAGCAGTATTATTAATATTGGTATTACCATAATTATTTCTATTATTATCATTACTGCGTATAATATTTTTACTGTAAATATTATCTTTACTGTAAATATTATCCTTACTGTAAATATTATATTCATTATTATTATTATTATTATTATTATTATTAGTATTATTATTATTAGTGTTATTGTTAACATTATTACTATAATTAATTATTATTTTTAATATTACTTAAAATATTCTTCATAATATTATTATTATATATAATAATAATAGTAAAACGTTCAATAATGGAGACTAATAATAATAATAATAATAAAACAATTTTTTTTGCCGTTGTTAATGTTATTTTTTCTTTAATCATGCCTTTATAGTGATATAATAATAATAATAATAATAGTAATAATAATAATAATAATAATACTAGCATAAATAATTATAATGCATTAAATTTAAATTTTATTATTATTATTATTATTGATACTATTATTATTCAGTTTGTAATTATAAACATTGTTCAATTTATTATTAATATTCTATAATTTTATTCACATTCACATTCATGCTTATTATTATTATCATTTAATTATTTTTGTTTTAATATTGCCCTCCAAAAAGTGCAGTTGAAATATATATTCTGGTTTTTATTTTAGAAGTTATATTCAGGCAAAAAAATCAGCGTGATTTTTTCCTCCAAATACAAATAATCATTTTATTTAATCTGTTTCCACTTTCTCAAAAAAAAAAAAATTGTAGCACCATACTCAAAATGTTTCCTTCAAAACTTCGGTTTCTGAAAAAAGTTGATGTTTGTGTGATTGGCGGTGGTCCTGCAGGGATAGCTGCTGCCTTACGTGCCACTGACTTTGGAAAAAAGTCCTGCCTTATCGAAAATTCAAGGGTTGGTGGTGCAGACTTATGGAATGGTGCTCTTCAGTCTAAAACGCTATGGGAAATGGCGAATTTTGCTCAGTATATGAGAGGTTCACATAATGTCTTTCATCTAACGAAAGACATGCCACCAATTGAATTTAATCGTGTGTCTTCTTGTTTGCAAGATGCGGCTGAAAAACGTGAGTCACAAATTCTTCATCAACTTAAAGCCTCAGGTGTCGATACTCTCTTTGGCTTCGGCTCGTTCGAAACTCCGAACACAGTTCGTGTCAATTTCCCCAACGGAGAAACAGAAATTGTGGAGTCAGATCATTTTGTTATTGCAACCGGTGCGCAGCCACGTCCACACCCGATGGTCGCGGCAGATGGCAAAGTGGTTTTTACCTCGGACGATATCATGCTGAATCCATTTCCCAAGAGCGTTGTTGTTATTGGTGCAGGTGTTATTGGTTGTGAATTCGCCACCATTTTTGCGAAATTCAACATGACAAAAGTAAATTTGATTGAAAAAAGTAATCGCATTTTGCCTATGGAAGATGACGATGTTTCTTTCTGTGTGCAAAGTATGCTTGAGAAGAGAGGTGTAAATTTTCATCATAATTCCCAAATGGTGGATTGCAAGGTAAGCGATGGCCGCTTCCATTATGTTCTTCGTGATGTGAAAAATGGAACTGAAACGGAGCACGCTGTGGATGCCGCCCTCGTTTCTATTGGCCGTGTTCCAAGCGTTTCTAGGTTAAACTTGGAAAAAATCGGAGTCAAATTGGAGGGGGGGAGAATTGAACGGGACAAATTCCTTCGTGTGAAACCACACAAACATATTTATGCATGCGGAGATGCTGCCACTCGAGTGGCTCTCGTAAATGTGGGTGAACTTGAGGCTCAGGGTTGCGTGAACCATATGTATAAACCTTATCCAGAGGATCAGCTTATAGGCGGTCTCGATAACTTATCTACTATTATGTTTTTGGATCAAGAAGTGGCAGCTGTGGGGTTAAATGAGCAGCAGTGCCAAAAAATGAATATTTCTTATAAAATGGCACGGTACGGTTATAAATTTGTCGGTCGAGCTTTGGCTATGGGAAGCGATCAGGGATTTGTTAAGTTGATTGTTACAAATGACGAAAAAATGCAAGTTCTGGGTGTACGCGCAATTTCCCCTCATGCCAGCAGCATTATTGAACTTGCTTCTCTTGCTATACACAATAAGGAGCCAGCCTACGCTTTGAGTGAGCTCCGCACCGCTTATCCTTCTGTAACACAAGGATTTAAGGAATGTGTAAATATGCTTCTCGGTGTCTCTACGCTGAAACCAAATGTGTTTCCCGAGCTTGTCCTGAAAGAGTGGAATCCACCAAATTTTGAGAGGGGGCGTGCATATCAAAAGCAATCTGTCTAACAGGTTTTTATTAACTTTGATACACCATTAAGCAAAAATCGGCAATATTCGGAAGAGCTTCATTTTTTTTACGCATTTTTTTTTGCTCTTTTTAAAGTAAAAAGCAAAAAAATCGTCATACCAAAAATTCTTGAGATTTTACAATTTAATATTTTATTTTGATTTAACTCATAATAAAATTGCCTAGACTTTACTCTACGCATTGTTCTTTTATTTGAGTCACACAAATCAAAATGGCCTTTCAGGTTATCAAAGGGCTTGCTATTTAATATTCTACTAGCTTTAATTTCTAATGAATTTGTTCATAATTCATAGATTTTTCTCATTAGGAACAGTGTTAGAATTTTTTTCTCAATGGAGAGAAAATCGTTACCAGTTAAAATTAATGAAAATGACATCAAAGCTGCTCTTGATGTGAAGATTCGGCCACATGTTCGTATAGTAGGTGCTTTAAATACGCATCCTAAGGTGATCGCCAACGATTTGGAGGCGATCAAAAAGTGCGATTCGATTCAAGCTGTTACAGCTGCGATGGAAGAGATTAAGAATAGATGGGCGAACCTTGGTATTTTTCGTACAGTTAATTATAACTTTGAACCAACACAGAATGGAGAAGAAAATGATGTATGCGTGCGAATAGATGTAGAAGAAAGCAAGCCCAAAAAAAGCATTGGCGTTTTTACAACTGATTCATCCTTACCAGAGGTGACCATAGCTTTTGAAAACGTTCTCGGCGGACGTTATTCCATAAAAGGAAATTACATTCCCCCAGCATCTCGTGTACATTCGCTTTCATTTTCTTTATTATCCAACGTTCCTTTTATCGGGCAAAATGCGGAGTATTACATCGGTAGGCGTACAGAAAGCAAAGCCTTTCATGCCGCGAATGCTGAACATATTGAGGAAGTTAAGGCAACAACCCAAACTCGGAAATTCGGTATTCTTTCAGATTTAACAATCGGATTTCAACAACGTACCCTAGTAGCAAAAAACAAGAGTAGTCTCCCGGAGACATTGTTGTGTGACTTCAGGACAACTAGCAAAGGGTATATTCGGCATGAGCTGGCATTTTCTCGTGTTGCGTATCATGCTAATATGCATCTGTACAATATGTATCCATTACCAATTTATGGACATAATATCAATTTGACCAATGAGCTTGCCGGGAGCATTATGGCTGGTAGTTTTGATTTCTTGAGGAGTGAATTTCAGTGTTGCAAGTATTGGCCCCTAGGACCCTTTTTTAGTTTTCAGTGGAGTGCAAAGCTCGCTGGAATATATCCCTTCATGAAAAGTCACATTCCACTTAATGATCGACTTTTTTTATCCAATTATCATGTTCGAGGATTTAAGTCAATTGGACCATCAACGCTAGACTTTGGCCCCTCTCAACAATTCGCAGCAACCGGTGGAAATGCCTTATGGGCAACTTCTCTAAACCTTAATTTTCCTCTTTTATTCTTCCCCAATAATGGCTTAGCTGCCATGCATGTATTCGTGAACGCAGGCAATCTTCGCATGGTCGAAACATTCAGACAATTTCAGGATGCTTATTCATGGTTCAGAAAATGCGCTTGTTCTTTTGGCATGGGAATAGTTATTACTCGGATTCCATTGTTTGGTATCTCACCAAGCGGGCGTTTTGAGTTAAATTTGTCAGTTCCTCTTGGAATCGACAAACATGGCAATATAGCATTTCGCAATGGGGACTCTAATATTTTTGATAAAATCAAATTCGGTCTTGTATGGTCGTCGAATTTATCGATCTAATTTTTTTTACCCGCTTTTGAATTAATCATATGGCAGGAATATTTTCATACGTGCTCAAAAAGGGTCAAACCCAAACCTTTTACGTAAATATGTATATCCTACCTCCTACGATTTATTTACATAATTATGGCACCTTTTCAATGCATACCACTTGTTTGGTTCCATCTTTAAGCCTTTAAAAAACAAGATAGTAATGATAGGGCGAAAATAATTTCTTAGCAGTGCGCATCTTGTGTAACTCGACAATGTCATGGTGTCCACCTGGTGCATTTATTGCGGAATTCGACTCCTTTGTAGGCCCATCTATTGCTTATGCCTTTGAATATTATACTTTCAAGCAAGGCGCTGTAATCAGTAGTAAACCTCGGAACATTACCTATGTTTCTTCAAAAGTAATATTTGGAGAAAAGGTAGTAAGCGGAGCGCTGCATCCAAGCTATTCAAATTATATGCGCTCTGTGGCATCGCGGGTACTAACCTCCAACGAAGACCACGAGGAAAATATTATCTTCCAAGATATTGGATGCCCTTGTGTTAGCAGCATATCTTTTTGTCTCCCAGATATTCTTGCAAGGGGAGAAAAGAGGTCCTTTTGCTTGGTGTTCCTTCATTCTTCTTATAACAAAATGCTTTCTCAGTGGCCGCTCATAGCAACATGTAGTCGTATCTTTATTCAGTGTTATTGTTTTGAAGCTGCGAACGAACGCTACACTATGGAGTACTCAACTCTTCCAGATCTCGAACAATGCAGAGAGGAGGCGCATAGAACTTCACTGCGTCCCTTTGAGGCACTCATCAAACGTAGGGATGAAGATGTTTGCAGTACATTCAATAGGATTCACTGCTTTTTTGAGATTGTCTTGCCACTTCTCTTTTCGGATAGCCCCTTATTTAACTTTTCCAGCTCTCAATTGACTGAAGATATGAGCAGCATCTTGGAAAAAAAAATTATATCGATTATTGAAGAAGCAATGCCACAGGTTGCGATGAGGCTTTGCGTGGTAAATTTGCAAATTGAGAAGGAGAAAAGTGAAATTGAAACTTTAGCACAATCAGATCTGCAGCAGCAGGTCATCGTAAAACCCCTGCCAGTGTGGCTTCTTGAATTCCTGGAAGAATTCCCCTCTGATCAAGAAGCTCAGTTGCAGTTACATGTGCTACTTAATGCTTTATTTTCAGGCGATCAAATCATCATTTTTGGTGACAATGCGTGTTGTGGCGCTGGTCTCGCTCTTGCAATGTCGTACATACTCCCACATGGACGTGTGCGAACGAGACTTTTTTCTGACTCTTACGTGATGCCGTATGAAAGTCAAATTGTAAGCTTCAGCTTTCAATTTCTTTCTGAGTGGGAGATTGTGCCTTTTCGTGATGACACCTACACGATTGATGGTAAACGGCTCTTTGCTCTTTCAGAAGTTGGAGCGGATGGTGTAGTTGGTGTTCGCATTTGCAACGGGCGTGTTGATAAGGTATTTGATTGTGATGAACTTGCTCGCACAGTGGCTAAACCGTCACCAAATTCGTCCGCTTGTCGTGACATTGAAGTGCCTCATTCTCGCACGACAACCCTTACGTGTCGCATTATAGGGCTCCTTCAATCATACAGAGCAGATATTTCGACTTACCTCTCTATCAATAATGTTGAAAAAGTTGACGTTGAGATCGCTTCAATCAAGTTACTGATTGCTCAGATAATGCAATTGGTTAGCGAATATGCACTTCGTGGAAGTGTGTATTTGAAGCTGTTTCGTCAACAAGAAATTATGCTGAATAAAGCTTTGCTGCATAGAGGAGCGCCGTCGAAAGATACTTCACTTTTATCAAAAATTTACCAACCTTTGAAGCGTAGTTTAGTTTCGAATACATCTTTTCAGACTGGGATAGGCTTGTCAACGGATGATGTTTCCCATTTCCCAGTTTCTGTTCTTCAAAAAAATGCATCTCTTCATATTGGGTCAGACAAGCAGTACAATGATAAGCAATTTCTATTCCTGAGCTCTTCCCCTGAGGATCACGATATTTTAATGTTCTTGGGAAGTCAAGCGATTGCTTGATAATAACACAGATATCTGTCTATCCTTTTAGGCGCGATTGTAGGAATATAAGCTGACAGCGTTAGTAATGATTATGCACTTTATCCATCAAGACTTTGTATCTTAGACTTAGATACATACGTCCTTAGAGCGACCGAAAATTGCTTGTAAATCTAAAAATGGATTCAATGATAATAGTGGTAGTTACGATTGCATACCTTTTGATCACAAATTCACTTTACCTCCTTTTATCGATCTGAAATGACATCTGAGTTCAGATTAGGTGATTTTGATGGAAGAAAATAAAACCAATGCATCAATATGCCGATATGAGTGAAGCAACCTCCTGCTTTTAATTCCTTCACATCTGAATTCCTGCTGTAGTGGTAGAGTTGAGGAAAACCATTTTTACAGCCTTATTAAATTCTTCATTCATCTTTTTTATTTGTTCATTTTTCACTCTTCCAAGCCTAGCAAAAATGACGTTGATGAGCGTTCTGGCTAATGCACTCCGCACAATTGCGAGCGCGGAGCGCCGTGGCAAACGCCAGGTCCTCATTCGCCCCTCCTCCAAGGTGGTCATCAAGTTTTTGCAGGTGATGCAGAAGCATGGCTACATTGGGGAGTTTGAGCTCATCGATGATCACCGCTCCGGAAAGATTGTTGTAAACCTCAACGGCCGCCTGAATAAGTGTGGTGCTATTTGCCCACGCTTTGACTGCAATGCTAAGGAGTATGAGCGGTGGGTGAAGTTCATCCTGCCCTCTCGTCAGTTTGGCTTTTTGGTTTTGACCACGTCTCTCGGCATCATGGATCACGAGGAAGCCCGTTCCCGCAATACTGGTGGTAAGGTGCTCGGCTTCTTCTACTAAAAGAGATCGGGAAGTAGTTGGTAGATTATGTCAGAGAGCTGAGGACAAGAGAAGGTAGTGTTGATCTTGCTTCTTTTGCTGGGTAAGCCTTATTTACGTGCTTGCATTTGGAACGGGCTTTTAGGGGCTGAGTTTCATTTCTGTTGGTGCTCCGAATTTTTCCTTTCCTTGTGTTTCTTGAGGCGGTTTTCATGTACTTTGTCTTATTGCTGGTTTCATTCCTTTAACCCCTCTTTCTCGCTTCTTGCCTTTGAGTTCACTTTTGTGTATCAAAGTACGACGTGTTGATTATCGTCAACCAATTTCCTTCTACTATTAGTCAAGACAAATCATATCCATGTTTTAAACATATCAAGCATATTTCGAACTAAACAATCTCCTCTCAAGCAGTTTTTTTTTGGCCAACTCGATCGCATAGCGTACTCAATTAGTTGTAGCTGGTGGGTGAATAAACAGAACGCTTTGGCAAAATTACGTATTGCTGGAAATGTGAACTTCAGTTAGAGTGGTTGCTGCACTGCTGTATGCTGGGAGCACAGGAACAGATGATTTGCATTGTGTACTTCATTGCTTCCTAAGAAGGATCATCCCTTCGAGAAGCAATTAGTGACAAGCATCCCCATTAAGTGCACCTAAGTTATAACCCCTTGTGAAGCTTTCTTCTTGATATGGATCTTTTCTAATTTCAAATCCAACTTTTGTTGACTGTGCTGATCGCCTGATTTGTTACGTTATTCATTTCCATATTTACTGCTATGTGACTTTTATACTGCCGCCAGGTTTTATGATAATTCGTAACTCGGAATATTTCTACCAACACTCTGGACAAAGCGTAAATATGGTGCCTGAAACTGATGTATTCTTTTTTTCCATTTAACCTTTCCATACTACCGATAAAAAATATCAACCATGGTGACAAAGATATAGAAAATGACCTCTGTAGTCGTAGATAATCAATCTAAAATTGAGGAACAAGTTCCAGCGCTCCCCAGTAATTACCGTTTCGAAATTGATAAATGTATTAAACGAATACTCGAAAAAAAGGCTCAGCGGGTTGCACTACAATTTCCTGAAGGGCTTTTGATGTTTGCTGCACCCATAGCAGATATTCTAGAGGAAAAAACAGGAGCTGAAATGGTCATTTTGGGTGACGTCACATATGGCGCGTGTTGCGTGGATGACTTCTCCGCTGCTGCACTTGGGTGCGATTTCTTAGTTCATTACGGCCACAGCTGCCTTATCTCCATCAAGGATTGTGTTTTTCGTAACATGATGTATGTCTTCGTGGAGATTGACATAGATGTTCAACACTTTGTGGATACCGTGAAGGCACTGGTGCCGCGTGAAACGCGTGTGGTTTGCATTGCAACAGTGCAGTTTATTTCCTCCATGCGAGCAGGTGTAATGTTGCTTAAGGATCACTTTGAGCACGCAATTATTGTCCCTCAATGTCGCCCTCTGTCTACTGGAGAATTACTAGGCTGCACAAGTCCGAAGGTGAATCCGTCAGAAGTGGATGTTGTGCTCTATGTAGGAGATGGCCGCTTCCATTTGGAGTCCTTCCTCATTGCTCATCCAACGCTTTCTGCCCTACAGTATGATCCGTATAAAAAGAGGCTTACCAAGGAAGGCTACGCCACCTCCGAGATGCGTGCTTTGAGGAAGGATGCTATCGACAAGGCTAGAAGCGCACAGAGTTTTGCTCTAATCATGGGCACCTTGGGTCGACAGGGGAACCCTCGCGTTGTAGATCGCATCATCGCTCTGGCAGAACGACAAGGAAAGCATGTAACATTACTTCTGATGTCTGAAATATTCCCTCAAAAATTAGCACAACTAGCAGATGTCGATTGCTATATACAGGTTGCATGTCCACGTCTCTCTATCGATTGGGGCTATGCCTTTGATCGCCCATTGCTGTCCCCATATGAAGCAGAGGTGGCACTTGGAAATATTGAATGGAAGGAGGAATATCCCATGGATCATTATTCACAAAATGGTGGCAACTGGGCTGTTTATACAGACAAATCCATTTGAAAAGACTAATATTACAAGTTAATAAAAGTAGAAAGTGTTTCGAGTAATTAAGTATATCTTATAATTGATTAATATTTCATATAGTTCTGCTTAAACTAGTTTTATGCCTTACGGGATTCGTAAGTCAAATTCTTGCCTACATACTTATGTTTGCAAATACTAATGAACCAATATGCAAGGTGTAGCGTCAGCAAATTTACGGTAGTCTATTCTTGATTGCACAACTGCGAAAAAATTTCCACCAAGATAAATCATGAGATAGCATAACAAATTGCTTTAGTGAAATCTTATTTTCCTGGTTTCTTAATACTTGACATTCTTTGTCTTCTTGAAAGATAACTAAAGTGCTTTCTCGTCAATCATTGCACAAAGTAGTTTATACTCTCTAATAACAAGCTTTTACACACTGGAAAAATGTCAGCTGAAGAAGCCTCAGGACTCGAAGCCGCCCGCAAGCAGAAGATCCACAATCTGAAGCTTAAGACGGGATGCCTTGAGAATGAGGAGCTTATTCAAGAGCTCCACATATCCGACTGGTCGGAAATGCAGCGACAGAAACTGCGTGGTTCCCATGAGAAAGCTCAGGAATTGCTCGCGTCTGTCGAGATGGGAACCAAGTGGAATCTGATGGAGGCGTACGACCTGGCTAAGCTGATGCGTGTATGCGGTTTGGAGATGAACCAGCGCGAGTTATACCGTCCGGAGGACAAGCCTCAGCTAATGGATATCATTGGCATAAAGAAGGTGCTGCAGGATTTGCGCCAGAACCGCAATAAGACACGCGTGGTGAGCTTTACGCAATTGATTGACAACAGCATCGCCAAGATTGAGAAGGTTGAAGAGGAACTGCGCCGCTCACAGCTAGACGCAACGCAGTTGGCCCAGGTGCCAACACGCACTCTGAAGATGGTCGAGGACATTATGAACACGACGCAGATCCAGAATGCGTTGGCGTCGACGGACGACCAGATGAAGACGCTGCTTGCGCAATTGGAGAAGACTAACGAGATCCAGAACGTCGCGATGCACGATGGTGAGATGCAGGTGGCAGAGGAGCAAATGTGGACGAAGGTACAGCTGCAGGAACGCCTGATCGAGCTGTTGAAGGACAAGTTTGGATTGATCAGCAAGGTCGAGGAGGAGAACGCGCAATTCAAGGAGATCTACGAGGTGCAGAAGCAAGCGAACCAGGAGACGAGCCAAATGAAGGATGCGAAGCGCCGCCTCAAGCAGCGGTGCGAGACAGACCTCAAGCACATTCAGGATGCGATCCAGCGTGCCGATATCGAAAATGCCGAGGCGACAAAGCGGTACGCCGCTGGGAAGGAGCGCAGTGAGCGTGCCGTCCGCGAGAACGAGGATGCGCAGGAGGAGAACTGGAACAAGATCCAAGATCTCGAGCGCCAACTCCAGCAATTGGGCACGGACCGCTTCGACGAGGTGAAGCGCCGCGTTGAAGAGATTGATCGCGAGGAGAAGCGTCGCGTGGAGAACGCGCAGTTCCTGGAAATCGCATCGCAGCACAAGAAGCTTCTGGAGCTGACAGTGTACAACTGCGACGTGGGGATCCGGTGCACGGGTCTCATTGAGGAGATGGTGGCGGAAGGCTGCGCTGGTGTCAAGGCGCGGTGCGATAAGGCTAACCAGGAGCTTGCTGCACTACGTCTCGAGGTGCACAAGGAGCACCTGGAATACTTCCGCTTCCTTTACCTCACTTTGGGCTCGTTAATCTACAAGAAGGAGAAGCGCCTCGAGGAGATCGACCGAAACATCCGTACGACGCACATTCAGTTGGAGTTCTGTGTTGAGACGTTCGACCCGAATGCGAAGAAGCACGCGGACATGAAGAAGGAGCTCTACAAACTGCGCCAGGGTGTAGAGGAGGAGCTAGCGATGCTGAAGGAGAAGCAGGCGGTCACACTGGACGACTTCAAGGAGTCTGAGGAGGCCCTGGATGCCGCTGGTATCGAATTCAGCCACCCTGTCGATGAGAACAACGAGGAGGTCCTGACTCGTCGTAGCAAGATGGTGGAGTATAAGTCGCATCTGACGAAGCAAGAGGAGGTGAAGATCGCTGCTGAACGTGAGGAGATCAAGCGAGCCCGACTTCTGCGCTCCGGCGCGACTGCAGCACAGATCGCTGGCGGGACGGGTGCTGATGCAGCGATCGCAGCGGATAACGGTCAGATTGAGGCATAAGTTTCGCTGCAACTTATTTATACGGAATGAAATAACAAATGCTTGTTGGAAAAACTATGTATGTATGTATTTCGTTTTATTCCCTCTTGTGCACACAGCTTTCCGTTAGTATCTTTTTCTTCAAGGCTTTTGGTATTCCTTTTCGTTGTTGTAAAATCGAATATCGTCTCAACGAAAATATGTATAGTTTTGAGGATGTTGAAGTATCTATTTTATTATTTTGGTTATTTACCATGCGGAATCATCAACCAGTAGGATGTAAAGAAGCTATTAGTGAAAGGAGTTGAAGCAAAGCTTTGGGTGATACACAACGTTTTTCTTATCATGTTATTATGATCTACGATATGATGTTTATTCGCACATGCCATCCTTTTATTACTGATAGCAATGTAGAAGGTGACGAAGGAATAATTTGTCATGCTTTAAAAAGGATATCTTTCTATGTATTTAAAGAAGAAATACACTCAACAACCGCAGCAGTGACAATGATTTGCATTGCTCTCTTTATTTTTGGTGCTTGATGGCTGCTGTATGCGGCCGTTTCGCTTCGTTTTCGGTTCGTATGAGCGGAGCTTCGTTTTTATCGTCTATAGTTTCCTTTTTGTTTTCACTAATTCAAATACATTAGATCTACGCTATCAGCCCACATAAGCTTTTTAATATCATCAGAAGTACACTTTTCAAATCACTTTCCGACATCATGGTAACTCCACGCAGTGCAAAGAAGGCCGCCCGCAAAAGCAGTTCGAGGTCAGCGAAGGCTGGCCTCATCTTTCCCGTGGGCCGTGTTGGCTCACTCCTCCGCCGAGGCCAATACGCTCGCCGCATTGGTGCCTCAGGTGCTGTGTATCTGGCCGCCGTGCTTGAGTACCTGACAGCTGAGCTCCTGGAGCTTTCTGTGAAGTATTCTACGATGTTAGATAAGAAGAAGTACCGCCTGTCTCCGCGCATTCTCACGATGGCTGTCCGCAATGATGCTGACCTCGGCGAGCTACTCAAGCACGTGACTGTTTCTCATGGTGGTGTGGTGCCAAGCGTAAACAAAGCTCTTGCAAAGAAATACAAAGGAAGCAAACGCAGCAAGGTTGCTCATGCCGCTTAAAAAGTCCGTATGCTTCTTCTTGCAAGGATTTCATAGATGCTTTTTTTCTGATTATTATTTTTCTTTTTTTACTTTTTTTTTCGGGGTAAAAATACAATTTCTCTCAGTCAATGATCAAATATATATAAGAAGGTAAGTTTCCTATGAGTTCGCCTTTTTTATGCAAATAGGTGTGCATTATGTATGTCTGTTCTTTATGTAAAATGAAGCTTAGTATCATATATACTGCTGTCTTTCCTAATTTTACCTGTTTCTTGGATGATATTCAAAGTAAAATACTCTTGAGACCACCAGGAGATACCTTGAACAACCTTTGATTGTGATCAGGTGACCGTTATTTGAAGCAATAGGGTGTCTTGATGCTTTTTCATTCTAATAGCTTCAATAGTGTGGGCCATGCAGGGTTGTTATTCGTCAAGCTTTCTGCCGTTTCAAGAACAGAATTCAAATGAGGAAGGATGCAATATAAACGTTAATGAATCTGATCTAGCAGAAGCTGACTTTTCGCTGCGTGAAATGATGACCCTCATCTTGGAAGGCTCCCGCGTGGGATGTGCAAAGTATTCTCCTCTTACTTGTGTAGTCGAAGTGTTTGAAGCAAACGCATTGTTTCATCTTGGCGGTGGTACCTGCTATAGGACCACTATCACTAGCAAAGGCATGAATCAGCGCATACTTCCTATCCTCACTCAAGACGATATTCCTTCGAGTTTGCTCTGGTTGGTACGTGTTCTAGAGACGCATCAGCCTCTTGTTTTTCTGCCAAGTGAAGGTTCCGAGCCACTAGCGGAAATCTGCCAGATATTAGGTTTCATACCATCTCGGTTATCCAGAGCGAGTGCCTTTAATTCCAGCGACGTAATCCCACAGCTTTTACGTATGTATCCACAGCTCACAATGGAGGAAATCTCATCTCGTTTCAACTTAAATCACAAGGCTATGCTGTCCGCCATGTCTGCTTTACTCAGGTACGCCTCCCTAGTACAGTCCAATATTCACAATATTGTGGAACGGATGCCCTGTGGCATTATGTACATAGACGCGGCAGCGACTCAATGGCTGCAGCTAACCCGAACGGAACGTCATCCGTGCGCATATCAGGGTATTGGTCAGCCAAAGGAGGGCCTTTCTTTGTTTAGTGTTGTGAACCAGACAGTGAGTGTGTTTGGGCGCTCTCTTCTTCGGCAATGGTTTGCCCTACCCAGCTGCGATTTGGACGAACTGCAACAGCGACAGCAGGTGGTGCGATATTTCTCAGCGGTCATTTGTCGGGAGACTCTGCAGCAGATACGTTGCGCACTCAAAAAAATCCACCCAACAGATCCTGCATTTACGCTTATGCGACGCGGCAAAGCGACACTGAGGCACTATCGTCTGTTATTGCAGACTATGCACGGGCTCATTGCCTTGCATGCCCTTCTTTTCCCCATAGCCCATGAGGTAGATTTCTTGCGAAATCTAATAAATAGTTTTAACGTGGAATCGATACAAAACATGGCCTCGACCTTGGAAAATTCGGTATTTTGTATTCTTCAGAGCGCACAGACGAGTCGTGATTCCAACCACAGACGTAATAGCATGACAGATGAACAGAGGGGCGATAATTTCCTATATCATGTTGCTTGCATGGTGAACCGTGATCCTTTTAAAATTCACTGTTATGCAGTAACCCTTCAATGGGGCGTCGATGGCGTACTAGATGAGCTGCGGGAGCATTACGCCTATCTGCCATCTATTCTTGAGCAAAAGGCTAAGGAAAGTGAAATGGAGCTGTTGAGGGATATGAGCCCCATTGATGCTCACATTCGAAGGGTATTGCGCACTCTCCGGTGTATCCAAATAGAATCTCTTGGCTATGTTCTATGCGTCGATGAGCAAGCCTTCCTTTCATCTCTGTCACAGTTCTTGGGCGCAGGAAAAACAGGGGTTGCAAATGTTCAGGGTTCATGTGACCCCACGCTTCACTCTCCTATGGCCTCGAGTGCTAATATAGATAGACACTGCCTAGCCTCGACAAACTCAGATGAAGAAATAGTAGGCTACTTTTGCAGGATGTACGGTTGGGAGCATGTAAAAACTTCTGAAGGATTACTTTACTTCAAAACAAGCAAGATGAGGGAACTCGACACTTACGTTGGTGACCTCTTGCAGCGTATGGTCATGCGCGAAAACGATGTTCGACGCGAGTTGGAGGAGGAGCTGCTGAGGTGCTCTTTAGATTTGCTGACTCCAGCACGACCACTGGCAGAGCTAGACTGTCTTCTAAGCTTTGCGTATTGTGCAACGGAGTACCAGTGGGTCTGCCCGAAGCTTGTCAGGAAACGCGGCCTGGTGCATATTGTAGACGGGTGGCATCCCCTTCTTCAACACGTCCTTCGTGGCAATGAGCTTGTTCCCTTTACTTTTTCTTCAAGTGACGCAAGTGAGCAAGTCTGTGTTGTGACTGGTGGGAGTGGCAGTGGCAAGTCTGCGTTGATCAGTGCCATTGCACAAATTGTCATTCTTGCCCAACTAGGCTCCTTTGTACCCTCGCGTCAGGCTACGCTTGGGCTCTTCGGTTACATCTTCACCTGCAATGCTACAGACGTGGTTCTAGGACAGCTTTCAAGCTTTCAGTCTGAATGCTTTAAGATGAATCGCATATTGCGCCATTGTGCCTACGAGCGGGTTGCCGCCGAAGCTGCTGTTAGCGAAGCTATAAGAGAACCAATTAAGGAGTGTGGGGAAAAGGATGGCAGGCGCGAAACTGGAAATATGGAATTGGGTGCTGAATCCCAACCTTGCGATACCACTACGACTTTAGGTGTTAGTTCTGCGCCGGGACACCATTTGATGGGGACACTGATACTCATAGATGACATAGGTCGGGGCACAACACCTCATGATGCTATGGCACTTCTTGGGGCTGTTTTGCGTTACTTGGCCGGATTAAAAGTATCCCATCAGGATGCCGAGCATGCTGAAAATGAAGGTGGCTGTATTTCTGAGATCCATGTAGGATATCCTCGTGATAAGTCGGAGGTTGTCTGCTCAACTGTGCTCTGTGCGACCCGTTTTTATGAGCTTATGTATGTCGGTCAGCAATATATTATCAATAAAGGAATGCACACAAAAATGTCCGTCTGTAATAGCGCTGATATAAATGAAGATGAGCTGCTATGTTCTGAGTTACTTCGTTTTCCTTTTGAACGAATCACTTTTTACGATTTACCATGCTTGGCGATGTATCCAGACGAGAAAAAGGTCCAGCACTTCCGTATGGAGCACGAAGCAGATGAAAAGGCAGCCGTTTGTGTGGAAAGTGCGTCGTGCAGTAATCAGCATGAGGGGAAAGAAGCGGATAAGGGCGAGCTCCCAATCGATGTAGTGCCAACGTATCAGCCATATAAAGTAATCGTTAAGTCTGATCAACATCAGAGGTGCTACAATCCTTATAAAGGAAATCGTTTGTACGGTGGTGTAGCCATGGCTCAACGGCATAACCTCCTGCCCTCCCTGCTAGCCTATTGGAGAGAGGGATTAAAAGTTATGTCTTCATCTCTGCGCTGAGAGCATGCACTAGGTATGGACGAAAACATTTATTCCTTTCACTAATTTTTTGAACTGCTTTTTCTGCTATTGCCTTTGGAAATGAATATTTTATTTACTACACTTTTTTTTTCTGAAGATGGGTTCCTTTTCATACATATCGTAGTTTAATGTTTTTTTTTTTGTGCTTCTACAGACTAACCTGGAGCTTCCATTTGATCACTGAAGGAAGAGATAAAATGTTTTCTACTGTTTTGTTTTTTTTACATCTCTTTTTAAATAGAGACTACCTCCCAAAAGGGAACTAAAACATCTGAAAAGATTCAAGAGAGATAGTAAAGATTCTGTTCTGCGGGACACTTCAACCTGAACGAGGAACAGATAATGTTCCAAAACAAGCGTTATGAATGGACCAAAAATTTTCCGAATGGTGACTCTTATTGTGGAGAAGCTATTCTTGATAATATTAAGGATGGTGAAGGAACTTACTACTGGGCGGCCACTGGCTCCACCTACAAGGGTGCCTGGAGCAAGGATCAGCCTCATGGCCAGGGTACGATGACTGTTCCAGGTGCTGAGGGCTATACCTACCTCGGTAGCTTTACGTGTAGCAAGCGCTGTGGTCATGGGGAATGTCGTTTCAGCAATGGCAGAGTTTATATCGGTGAATGGCTCGATGATCAGATGCATGGGCAAGGAACTTTGCGCGGTGGGACTGAGGATTCTTTCAGGGAATACAAAGGTCCTTTCTCCAAGGGTGTTAGAAGTGGGGCAAGGGGCGAGTGCATTTATACGAACGGCGACCGTTATGTGGGTGAGTGGCTTGATGACAAACGTCACGGTATGGGCGAGTTGACGCTGGCGCCTGAAGCGAGAGGGAAAAGTTTGAATAAACACATCACTTCACGCAAAAACTCTATTCTTCAATGTTCTAATGCGGGTTTCAATGGATACCTTAGACCAACACTCTCCACAACTACTGCAGCTAATGTGGTGCACTACAAGGGGCCTTTTAAGTGTGACATGTCTTTCTGCGTAGCGGGCGGTGAGCTGACGTACGATGACGGAAGTACGTATGTGGGAGCTGTTGATAGTCATCTGCAACGTAGTGGCGAAGGGAAACACCAGATGGTGAACGGGGATGTTTACACAGGCCATTTCTGCGACGACGAGCGCGATGGCCGTGGTGTATTGCACTGCGCAGCGGACGATGTCAGCTATGATGGCACGTGGCGGCATGGTGAGCTCGACGGCTTCGTCACTTACTACCGTTCCTTCTCAGCATCACAGCCGGATCGCTTTCCGTTTGGTATTAATGGGGACACTTACCCGCAACTAAGTCTAAAGTCTCCGATAATTGTAGACTACGAGGGACCTTGTGTGCGTGGAGAGTTTACAGGATCTGAAGCTGTTATCAGCTTTTTGGATCACAGTACGTATCGTGGCGATGTACACGATGGTCAGCCCAGTGGTTGTGGCCTGTTAGAGAATCGCATAGTGCGGGGGCGCTTTCCTCAAACGGCATTTGGTCCGGAGGTTGTATTTCTACGGTATGAGGGCTGCTTTTCCAAGGGCGAGCCCGAAGGAGAGGGAACCGCCACGCTTCGCATTGCTTTGTCAGACGCTCTCAGCAGTAGTAGAGGTGATAATGATGCAACGTTATTGCAGCACGGAAGTGCTACTTTGATCCATCCTAGAAAAGGGGGTCTGCGATTGCGGTTCGACCGAAGTGCCACCTTCCGGGGGCGATGGTCCCGCGGGCTTCCGGAGGGCTCTGGTGAGTGGCATTGGAAGAGTGGCAGCGAGGTATATCAGGGGGAGGTGCATCTGGGGCTTCCTAATGGCCAAGGCTTCTACAAAAGCACATCTGAGCAGTACGAGGGCCATTTTGAGGAGGGGTTGCCGAGTGGTTACGGTACCTATCGGAATGTCTTGACACACGTCACTTTCCAGGGCACCTGGCTTGCCGGCCTATACCATGGCCTAGGCGACTGGAGCCTGAGTCCGAGCGAGGCTGAGGGGAGCACATCGTCTGTTCCAACTGAGACTACCTACAAGGGATCGTGGCAAAACGGCAAGAAACACGGACGCGGCCTTGAGCGCAGTTCAGAAGAAGTCTACGAGGGTGACTTTGTAGATGGTATGCGTCATGGTTACGGTGTGCTACGGCACCTCTCTGATGATGGATATTGCTATGAAGGCAGCTTTAACCGGGGTAAATTGTCTGGTACTTCAGGAAAACTAACACTCCCGAATGGAACGATGGTGACCGGGTCCTTCGAAGATGGTGTACCGCACGGTGATAATATCTGCGCTGTGTTTCCCCAAGGTTTAACGTTCAAAGGTCGATACGACCATGGTTGCCCCATAGGGGTAGGTGATATCACGTACGCCAACGGTGATCACTACAGTGGCGAGGTTGAGCTCGTGACCCCTGCTGCGGGTTTCCAAGATTGGACGCCGCAGCGTCATGGAAAAGGTACATATACCTTCGCTGAGGGAAATCGTTTAGAGTGCACATGGAGGCACAACATTCTAAACGGCCATGGCAAGCATATTACCCCTAATGGGGAGGTTAGTGAGCGGCATTATGCAGATGGGATTATCGTATCCAAGGTCACTTCCAGTGTTAACATGTTTACACCAGAGAACGAGTTTCCAAATACGCAATCAGAAAGGGTCCTTAAGGCAAAGCTTGAATCTATCAATCAGCCACACAAGTTTATCCGACGTGGTGAGGCGCGGCAAGCGGTCAAAAGTGCTGTCCCTTCAGTCGCGGCAAATAGTTCCGTTGAGGCCAAGGAGTGTGGTGCTACTGATATGATGGCGCAAAACAATCCTACTTCAGCCTCTGCGAAGAAAGAAGCTCCGGGTGCTATACTACCTAAGGGTCCAAGGCGATCACGATGTAACGTCGAAGCGCCAGCATCAAAACGCCCAAGTAGCTGTAGGAATCACAATCCTACGAGCCCTTCTAACGGTGTTGTGGATAAACGTGTAACGTCCATGGTGGACCTGCCACCTCCATGTAGTCACTCCGTTAAAGCGACTTCAGCGAGTTCTCTTCCTCTGGGGAAGGGAAACGAAAAGACCCCGGTTACTGGCACAATGAATGGCCCTATGCGCCTTCCTAAACGATCTACTAATCGCGTAACAGCATCCAAGACTGGTAAAGATGCAAGTAGACCGCCTGTTGTTAGTGATCGCAAGACTACTTCTCAGGAATTCTCTCCGTTGTCGTCGTCACCTCAAAGACTGACTTCTGACACGAGCGCCAATTATACTGCCAAGCGCGCGTCGTCCTTAGATGCGTTTCAGAAGCTTATCAAACGACTAAATACAAATAGCGAGGATTCACCAGCCGTGGAGGATGGTAGTGCAATTGACAAAGAAGCACATGCGATTAGTCTCGCATCCGGAGCTCGTTCGGATTGTAACGATAATAGTGACATGGTTGTCAACGGCATTGCGGATGCGACCTCACAGCCACATCTCAGCGTCACTTCAAGCACTCCGCTTGAGGGGAGCCTTGGTAAGCTCATGCGAGAGGCCTGCGAAATTCGCAACACCACAGAAGACGAAGTCTACTCACTTACTGAAAAAGTTAGGGCCCTAAATGAGAAAATATGGCAGCTACGCTTCTTACTTTCTTCAAAGCCTGCTGCAGTTGCACCGGCTTGGAACAGTACGGAGAAGCATAGGGCTGGGGAAGGTATGAGTAGCATCAAATGGGAGCCGCTAGAGGCGATGCAACGAGAACGCCGAGAGATTGTTGAGGCCCTTCGATGTAAGCTGAATGAAGAGTCTGAAAAGGATTCTTAGTGTTTTAAAATGTAGGTCTGCTGTTATTTCTATATTTGTTACATTTTTTTTAGTTTATGTATTTATTGTTCCATGAAACTGACTCTTAGTGTAATGTGCTATTACCTTCCTGGATATCGCGAATCGTTAGGTACGTGTCCCCTTTGTGCAAGGGACAGGCACTATTTTACTTCAAATGGTGTCTATTTGTCTCATTTTGCAAATTCTAAAAAAAATTGCTAGACTGGATGTTTGATATCCGATTATTCGTTTTATTTCTTTGAGGCTCTGAATTTCAAGCATTGTGGCCAAGCTGGTGCTATTCTTACTGTGCCATTGTCAACCTATATATATATATATATTATGGATTCTTGCCTTACTTTTAGCTTATTTGTAATGTTGCAGTAAAATTTATCACATTTAAACGTGAAGTGTTTATAGGATGTTAACTTCTTCACCTGTCGCTTGCTCATATTGTCTTCTTATTTTCAAATAAGCGAAAATTTGCAAATCATTCACCAGCAAAATAAAAACAAGTACAGTGCTGAAGGCAATCTCCTATCATCCATTTCGTTATGTTGCGTTACTTTACTCGATTTGGTGGTTTTGCAGTGCCCAAGGCAATCCCATATATGTCAATGTCCGCGGTGCCCTCATGTAATTCCAGCCTCCTGATAGGCGATCCTGCTAGGGGACAAATCTCACCGGTCGCTGTCACCTGGACGGACATCGTCGGTGATGACTGCGGAGCCTTATCCAAGCGTTTAACCGCCGGGCGTATCTTATCAATGCTAGATTTGTGTGCTGGGCACGCCACTAGCCGTGTTATACATAAAATAACTCAGTCTACCGGCGTATCTTACAATGTGTGCACTGTAGGCGTCTCTGGTACTGTCTTTGTGTCTCCCATTCTACACGGTGATGCGCTTCGCATGCGAGGTAGTGTCGTTCATTGTGGTGAGAGTTCGTTGGGCATTTATATCCGCTTCTTTCGGCGGTCTCCATCCACACGAACCGAAAGCTTGGCAGGCGAATCATTCTTTACTATGGTAATCATCACTCAAGGCATTGTGTCAGCAAAGGTTGTACCTTCGATGGAGTTGACAGACAAAACAGACATTGAGATGCATAAACGTTATAAAGCTATTCGTTCTTTTCAAAAGCAAAGCACTGAATCGAGCAAGAAATTGTTTGAACGTATAATCACAGCAGAGGAGGCCAGATGTCCTATTAGTGAACTCAAGCCGTTGCATGTACCCATCATCACAACTTACTGCCAAGCGAACCGCATTTTTTTTTTAGGACATTTAAATAGCAATAACACTGTCTTTGGTGGAGAGCTGATGGCGTGGATGGAGCGGCATGCGGTGCACTGTGGTTGTATGTTCACAGGAAATCGATACATATTCACTATTAGTATGCATAGTTTATCCTTTGATGAGCCAGTGTATGCTGCTGATTGGGTTAGCCTCAGCGCGAATGTTATTTACGTTCGTAATACTACCATGGAGGTTGATGTCAAGCTCACTGCTGAGCGCGCGAATGGGTCTGTTATCACAAATCGTGCTTCGTTTGTCCTTATTAACACCAACGATATTGGTCAGAAAGTAAGCATTCCTGTTGGTCTTGACTTGTCAGTAGCCTCCCAGGATGAACTAAAGCGGTATATAATTGCAAGAAAACGTTACCAATCTGGCTTTGAAAATTCTAAATACATTAGAAAATTGTTAGGAAAATCTTCATAACCTTAACTGAAGGTAATGCACACCTAAAATTTTCAAATACGAGTAAGCTATTCACATGCCCTATTGATTAAAAAAATTAAATAGAAAAAAGTGTAGTAGTGCACTCATGTGGGCTCGCATCTGTGAGCTATCAGTATTGAAGGCTATAAGGGCTGAGGATATGATATGACATGGGATGAGAAATGAGTATATAAATACACATGTAATGAATTTATTCATTTGGGTCTGCTTTTTGGAAAAACTATAAACGTAGTGTGATCGTTAAACTTTTTTCTGCTATATATTTACACTTAAAAGTTGTTTAATAATATGACTAATTAGAACGATCTTTTTTGCATTTTCACTGTCTACCATTCGCCGTGAGATATACAGCTTCAAGACGTCATGCGAATGTGGCAAGTTAATATATTGAGTCCTTTTTTATTTTTGCAATGTTACATTCATAGTCATCAGATTGATTTACCTGGTGCTCCATTAGTGTGTCTCACATCTTGCTTCGTTCTATTGGAGAGTTGTCACTTTTACTGTGCCACCTTATGAGTCACAAGGATACATGCTTTGCTTTATTGTTTCCTTTTATTTAACATATGAAATATCAGGGTATGTTTTTTTATCTGAAAAATGATGCATACTCTCACTACTAGGGACATCACCCCCCAAGCTATTCAACAGCAGCTAGAATATCTACTAAAATGCGAAGAGCATCTTACCCAGCTCAAGGAGCAGCGACAAGCACTTCAAGAGTTGATTGAAAAAGAAGAGAGTCACCTCACGGACATCAAGCATGATGTCCAGTGGCGGCAACTTATGGCAGAGGTGGAGGGAATTCGGAACGAGGAACCTTTATGCAATGACGATAACGAGGGAGCTAATAGCAACATCGCCCGCCTATGTATCGCCTTCGAGGATGCGATTCAAAAATTTAAAAGTAGCCTCATTCAACCCGAGGACTATGGCTCCGGCAGCGGTGACGAGTCTGTGATTCCATATAGTGACACCGATGATTACGCCGACTTCACCGTCCTCGAGGATGTTATAGAGGATGCGTTGGGTGAGGTGGAGTCCTTGTTGATTACAAACAGTGCAACACAGTCGAGGGGTGTGGTTAGCATGAAATCATCCTCAGTATCTATACATGCTCAAGAATCTTTTGTGGACAGCAAGTTCAGTGAGTCGTCGAATGACTCAAGAAGCTATTCTTTTCTGCACGAATCAGAGTCTAGCAAAGACCAGGCCGCTGCCAGGAAAAGAGATTGCGGTGATTCTGCCGAGATGGAAAAAGAAAATCAGCAGCGTCGTGTTGAGCGTCGTCGTGGGCTTTTGCTGCTTCTAGTACTTTCATTGTATGTTGGCCGAATTGAGGAACTTTGCAGCTTTGCCGAGATATCTGATCAAAGTGACGTTCCAAGTGCCGATGCTGATGAGGCCCGTGACAGTGTTGTAGTGATGTGGCAGTCTTTGCTTAATGATTCAAAGATCCTGACGGAGGATGAGCGAAGGGAGTGGGCTAATATAGTCTCTACCTACCTAGGCTCTCCGTTCGATACCCCACCTTTGAGAAGCATTATTTGAAAATACAGAGAAACGTGCACTCGCAGTGTGTTGTTAACATTATTGAAGGCTCTGAATAGCATCGATGGTAAAAAAGTGGTTATGGGGTGCAAAGTAGGCTTAAAAGAAAGGTACAGAAATAATACATACACCATTTTTTAAGCCTCTTTAACAAATTATCCGTTCCATATGTCCGCTTTCTTCCCTTGATGAGCTCTTTTGTAATGTGTTACTCAAAGGTTGCTGTTTTTATAGGCATTCAGACCGCTTAATACTTTCATGGAAATGTCAGTTGCGATTAGGAGAAGCAAATAAGGTTGGTCTGAAATTCTTTCTCCTATTTATAGAAGCAAGTGATCTAATTCAAAGAGATAGTCATCGATACAGAATAGAAGGTGCTGGCTTTCTACCAAGGGGTAATGCAAATGAATTTCAAGCGCCGTAGTTTATTTCGCTCGTTTGGTCAGCCACGATTGTATCGTCTGGGTCCCCACAAACTGCCTATAAGTGGGCTCTTTAGTTGTGGATCTCCAGCGATTCGCGCTAACCCCCCTTTCCAGCCAAATAGAGAAATTTGCGGAATACCATATGACTTCGAGGGGTTGCATTGTATCGATTCGGTAGATTTGGATTCAAACGGTGTCGACCATAGTCGTCGCTTCCATTATTTTCATGGTGATCATAATGAGTTTTTGTCAAGGATCCAGAATGGTGCAGTTATTTTGTTTTTCTATAAGTCATCCTGCAGGGTGTGTGCAACACTTCAGATGAAAGTTGAATCCGTTCTGAGAGAACACCATGTTTGCCCCGACGAGGAATCCACAGAGGGTTTGACAGAACGCTTCTTTTACAAGCTGTTCAATCGATTCGCGTCTCTGACACCTACCCCTGCGACCCGCGTGTCCTCACCCGGGGGAGAATTAAAGAAGTGCAACAACTCTTACGCATATGCCGACAGCGGCGCTAGTCGCACTTCAAAAACTTTCAAAGAACGTTTGGGTGCATTGTTGAATGCGAGACATTCGTTACAACGGCGTATGCACTCGGGTAAGGACTGTAGTGGGGCTACCGTCTGCGGTGTAGCAACTGCGACAGCTGTTTCCGAGGGGTGTGCGAGTTGCAGTGATGTGGAAACGAGGTCACTCCAGGTGCTTGATAGCAGCCATCCTAAAGAAACGATGCATGCGCAGGATTCCTTGCAATTTGCCATCACAGACCCTATTCAGTTCTTGGCTATAAATACGGATGAGAACGAGCGTTTGACGTCATTACATGACGTACGCAATATTCCAACATTTATTGCATATTTCGATGGATACATCATAGCTAGCGCTGAGGGTGCGAATGAAATGGGGCTATGTAAACTCGTGAGGCTCTTAGCTGAGGAAGCAGAGGGTCAAAAAGAAAAAGGGAACTCAGCCAAACAGTAAACCGAACACTTAAAACTGAAGTGATTTTCAAGACGAACAAGTCTGAGGCAGGTTAGTAAGTTTTACTATCAGATAACGTGAGGGGGGAGCTTTATTGCTCGATAAGTGGACATATATTTCCTCTATCAGTATGCATGGATTGAGCTTCACACCCAAGCAGCCCCTCATGTGTGTCTTGTTATGGGATTAAATCGATCGTGCCTATGGTTTTGCTGTTCATGAAAAGGTCGGCACTTCTGTCAATATTTTTACTTTCCTTTTTATTTAGCAAAGATTATGGAGTATTTTATTATGATATTTTTATCATATTTTTCCTTCATTTTACCCCATAATGTTATTTTTTGCATGCATTAAATAAATTACAACACCCGTGCATATGTAGTCTATAGCAACATATGTGGTAACTTGCAACGATATAGTCAAAAAAAAGGTATTTAAATGAGCATTATTTAAACTATTTTAAGCCTACACCTCGTGTTTCTCCCAGTTAACTTTTCTTCCCTCACTGCTTTTCATGCAATAATGTAACCCCTCAAAATTCAGTCTATTCAGTACGAACAAGACAGTGATCATGTTCTTATGCTTGTGGAGGATTGCTTTAATTGCATGATGAGGGAACACAAAGTGGAGGATTCAAATATTGTATAGGCATCTATTGAGAATAAGGCTTCACGATTGCCATACTTTTTGCTCCTTTTGGTTATAAACTGCGCATATTTTTGTTACCCTTTCGTTACTCATTCGCTTAGTTTTGTTAATCTTGCTTGTTCCCTTTACTCTCATTAAATAAATTAGAAGTTACTTAAAGCTGAGGGTTGAAAACGGTTCAAGAGATGCTTCAATTTTCAGAAACTTGCACTTTCTCTGTGGAATAATCAAGACCAATACCGCTTATTTCTTGAACCTCTTTTATTAAACTTTTAGTCTAAATATATATATTATACAACGTATTCGATTGCGTGGAGGTAGGTAGTGTTCACATATTTCACTCTACAAAATAACTATTTTAGTTTATACATATTTTTGTCAAGCAAAAATCCAAATATATAGCATAAATTTATGCATGAAGAAAACCTAAGGTGATACTCCTTTGATTTATATTGTCAAATGATTCCTACAGTTGTAGTATATGTTGTGGTGCTCTTCTTACTGTCCTGTGGTAGTGAAGCTTCACGCATTTCTCAGGGGTTTGATCGTCCTACTGTTAGAAGACATGTGGAAAATTTTCGTGACAATGCAGGCTTATTTCCTGACGATGATTCCCCTCTCACTTCCTCAAGGCGACACTTCATCACCCTCCAGGAATGGCTGTACCTCCCAGAGTCTCAAGAAATATCGAAAACTTTGCATCACTCGCAAATCGAAGAAAGAAAGGGCACGGGCTCAGGGGACAAAGGGAAGACCTATTTCTCAGGTTTTACTCGTCCTGAAATTTTTGGAAGGGAGTTTCCACAACTATATAAAGCCGATTCTTGCGGCAGATACGTTGTGATAGAACACCAACATCCCAAATCTTTACTAAATGACATCGAGGAACAGATGCAAAAAGGCGATGCTGTAGGCCAAAACGTGCCTCTTCGGTTTCAGAAGCGTCCTCGGATTCAGGCGGACACACTTTCTGTTCTAAGACATAGTGAACTTGAGGTTCACGTCATCGACTCGAGACACGTTTTAGCGTACCTACCTACTGGCGACGAAAGCGATATCGCTGACGCGTTAGCATCACAACCCATAACCCTCAGGGATTCCTTAGGAGAGTGGAAAGTAATTGACGTGTACGGCGGGAAGGGCAGTGTAAATTCAAGAGCTGAGTTGTTTCTTTTCAAGATCTCTAGACCTTTAAAGGAGCTCTTGACCGCTGCCCAAGACTGTAATAGCGAAAACTGCGACGTGTTTGCTTCACAAGCGAGGAAACTCTCGATACGAATATCCTCTCTGTATCCATCTTCTATTCCTTCCCAATCCATGCAAGAACTACGTATTATCGTTTCCACTGCTCGTGGCCAGTCCCAACGGGTTGCTGCAGATCTCTCTCGTATTAGTTCAATTCAAGATGTCGACTATAAGGGTATTGAAAGCGACGTTGTTAGAGCAGAGCCATTTACGCCCCCTGGTGCTCTAGACAGCAATACTTGTAGATTTTCGGTTGCAGTACCAACAGGTTTTCTCGGTGAAACAGGGGGGATTGTGCAGGTGAATCTTACGTTTCCTCTGCTAGATGTAGCGGCACAAAATAATTCATATAACCTCACATCCGATGTACTGAAGTATGCACGTACCTGCGTGCTTAAGGTCTTGAAAATTGCTTACCATCCTTCTGTGCGTTGGCTCGAGACGAGCCCTCCGCGCGTGGAGTTGCTTAATGACCATGCCACTCAAATTATTCAAAGCGGCTACACTGGTCGTGTGAACTTGAGCCTGGCAACTCCGCTTTTGGATGCAGGACTGAATGGTACTGGGGAGATAGTTGCCATTTATGATACTGGTGTGAATGTCGAAAGTTGCTACTTTCACGACCCAAAACAGCCAGTCGCACACTACCCAGACGTGAATCTCAATCACCGGAAGATTATTTCGTATCATGCGTTTCACGTACCTGGAACGAAGCATGACGACTATTATGATGGTCCAGATGGCCACGGCACCCATGTTGCAGGCAGTGCCGTGGGCTCCGTGTTCTTTGATTCTCATACCACTCGAAATTATCCAGAGGACATGATGCAATTTTCGCGCTATAACGGAGTAGCACCAGGGGCCAAGCTTTTTTTCCGTGATTTGGCTTCCAACACCTCAAGAATTTTGAGTATTGACCCTGACTGTCATAAATTATTTTATTCTGGGTATAAAAGCGGGGCTCGAATCTTCTCCAACTCGTGGGGATATGCAGGCAGTACGGAGTATTCCTTGGAAGAAAAGCTGATGGATGCCTACATCTATGAATACAAAGATGCTTTATTTTTGTTTTCAACTGGCAACCTAGCATCTCATATTATTTACAGACCCGCTACTTGTAAAAACGTTCTATCAGTCGGCGCCCATTATAATTCGTTCGACCCTATATATCAAGACATAATACCAAATTATTCTTTCGGTCCGACATACGACAACCGGCAGAAGCCAGACTTAGTCGGTCCGGGGGGTTTGAGAGTGATATCAGCCAGATCAAATTCCAAATGCGGTACTATAATTAAGTCAGGGACTTCTATGGCTACTGGATTAGTGGCGGGGGCGGCGGCTCTTGTACGTGAGTACCTGCGCACGCGGCTTGCCAACAACATGCCCTCTGCCTCATTGATGAAGGCTCTGATGATTCATAGTACTGCTTTCTTGATCCAGCGACAAAGAAGTGGTTTTGGACGTCTAGATCTTTCTATTGCGTTTGGCAATCATCGTCTTCGTACGAAGAGCACCATTGCCAGGGTAGTGGCGGCGCAGCCACAGCTGTGGATGGTAGAGAGAAAGGCAATTTCGGATAGGGAGACACACATGTACTGTTTCTCTGCTATCGATCCCATCACACTTAAAAGTGTATTCAGTTCTGATGATGCAATTGCAGCTGATTTGAATCCTGAAACAATAATACTGAAGGCTACCTTAGTGTGGACAGATATCGCGCTCGCACTGGAAGGCTCGAAGCGTAGTTTAGTGCATGATCTTGACCTTGCCGTTGTCGACTATGCGGGCAAAATATATTATTCCAATACAGATCAGCCCGAGGAGAAGTTTTTGGATCGTGCAAATAATGTGGAGCAGGTGCGGATTGAGCTGACGGAAAACCTTTCTACCAGCTTTCGCGTACTAGTCTACGGCAGCGAAATTCGTGGTAGCCAATTCCAAGAGTACTCTCTTGTCGTCTCCGCTCCTGGCTTAAGAGCAAAAGCAAACTGCGCAGCTGAGTTTGCGCGTCTGGAGCAGAGTAACACGCATGTGCGATGCCCTGGTAACTGTAGCGGCACCAACGGTGCAATGTGTCTTCCCGACAGCCGGCAGTGTGAGTGTTCCCAAAACTACTACTACTACGACTGTTCTTTGTGTGATGGAATGACTTACTGCAATGGCCACGGTGTCTGCAATTCTGAGACAATGACCTGTACTTGCTTCCCTGGTACACATTTTTCGGATCCTCACTGCAGTGTTTGTTCGGAAGGCTGGTATGGACCGAGATGTGATTTTAACTGTCGTTGCATGAATAACGCCACATGTGATAAGTCTTTAGGGGTGTGCAAATGTCCACAAGATCGCACATACGGCGGCGGTGGTTGCTACGCGGGACGGTACTGTGACCACTGCTGTCGCGGTTTCGCTGGCAAACACTGCAATGAACTAAGCTACTGGTGCGATGAGAGAGGTTCCATGGTAGAAGTGAATGATACGAGAGGTGGGTACATTCAGGTCACTGGATTGAATTACTATTCTACCATTATGAGATGTAAATGGTTCATTAAGGCACCGCTGGGAAGTCGAATCTTACTTAATTACATTGAGTTCAAACTCATGGACGAACAAAATACCCTGTTTCTATACGATCCAATGTCTGAAAAAGGCCTGGACGCCCCTTTGCGCGCTGATAAGGGGATTTTAGACAATCAGGTAGAAGTAAAGTCGATCGGAAATACCTTGTATCTTGTGCTTCTCCAGCCTATGACCGTTTCGGAGGACGGTTTTCTTCTTCGTTATAGATTTTTCCCTCAGACGGGTTGCGAGGTCGGCTGCAAGACCTCACTCAATCTGCCTAAGGATGCCCCACCAATTCTGACGTGTGGTAGTATGCTGAGACTTTTAGATTGGTGTATTTGCGTTCCTCCTCGAGTGGGATGGAACTGCAACACCACTAGAGTCAACTCGAACTCCCTGGTCAACAGCAGCGAGGTTGTAAGACAACAATCGCGTCCCCGATTCAGTTTCCTTAGTTCTGAAACGCTTCTGGTATTGGATACGTTACCATTTGAAGAGACATTACGTGGCATGATCAGCGTGGGATCCAACAGAGGTACAGGAAAGGGCGGGATATGGGATAATAAAGCGGACCCCGTCTCTGACTCTGAGTGGGCTTTTCGGACGATACCCATGGAGGGTATCACTCACATGCCATTAGTAGTAAACGGCTACTCACTACTGCGCGTGTGTGCACCTATTAGCACGAGCTCCACATCTCTGTCAGATGTGAACAGTAAAGGGCTCACTGGGTTTGTGAATCTTACGCTTATTCCTATTAACAGCACGTGGATGTATGGGGTACATGGACTTAAACTAGGTCTTGCGCAAGTGCATGAACTGGATTCTGATTTCTTGTTCAGCAATTTTTCCAAGATGCAGTTGTTAGACCTTTACACATGCTGGAACAAATGGGCTTTATCCATGCTAGTTCCATTCAATGTGAACACTTTGGAGGGCGACAAGGAGGGAGGGTTGTGGGTCATTACAGAGCTACTTGTTACGCTTTTGTGGAACGCCAGTGTACCTGTTACGTGGCAACATAAAAAGCATCTGACTGCGGATGTGTTAGTGCTATCGAATGCGCTCAGCTACAACACATCGTCGATGGGGGCAAATTCCTCTGAGTTTGCTCATGCTAATGAATCTGATAGATTTGTTCACTACGACAAAGCTCAGTCCGTGGTGGAGGTGGATTTTCAACTCACTTGCGGTCCCCCTCAGGGCCTCAACGTGGGACCGGGACGCCTATTGAGTCAATCTTGCATAGAAAAAGTGAACAAATTTATATACGTACGCCATAATTATCTGACTACAGTGCAGGTTGTCTTGCTTATCATTTTTTGCTTCGTATGTGTGACAGGAATCACCTTGTACAAAAACATTCATGCAGGGTTGGTTTGGGCGCCTGGGGTTGAATTTTGCGTTATAGGTAATAACGACGAAAATAGCACACCGAATCAAGCTGGTGAGGAATTTGTCGTATCAACAACTGATAATATGAATTTGGTTGATGACAACAAAATCGTGATCAGTAAAGTGAGCGAATCACTTCAAACATCATCAATGCAGCGAGAGGAAGGCTCCTAAGATACGGGTATTAATGGCACTTATCGTGTGTATTCTTACTGTTACAGATCATTTTCTATAGGACTGACAGTCGTTCTTTGAAATAAAGATGCTGACAGCACGTGGTGTGGGCCGATCATTTTGAGAGGTTTGCATAAGTTTCAATAACATTGCACTTTGAATTTTATCCATATTATTCTATACATACATACTAGTTCCATATATTTTTTGGTTTTATCTTACTGATTGAAATACAATGTAAATGGTACGTAATGAATACTCCTAGTATAAATAAGCATGGTAATTACCCCACGTTGTTCTGTCACTTCAAGTTTTCCCGTGTGGTGTCACTCCAAAAGCACTATTTATTTTTTCCTAAGGTGTGTGCCCATGTGATACTTTATGCAGTTTTCTTCCTCCTTAATGATAGTATTTCTCGAGTAATTTTATTCTCTTGGTCTCACTCTTCTTCTTATTTGTTATTTCATAAATATTATATATATATATTCTAGTAATTATTTCTTATAAAATATAATTATTTTATTCTGTATATTTGTCTCTTAAAAGTTTTCATTTCTTTAGATGGATGATTCCCCCTCTTCTGATTCTTTGGGTGCCGAGTGCTGGATTTGTCGCGATGCGGACTCGACGCCGAAGAATCCCATCATAAGTAGGGTCTGCCAGTGCATTGGCAGCATTGGTTCTGTGCACCAGAATTGTATTGATCGCTGGGTTTTCCAGAATGAACGTATGGAGTGTCCAAGCTGCGGGGTTCCTTATTCTATAGTTTACATCTGTCCTCAGGTGTTAGCATATCCTGAGGGTATTTTATCAGAGCTGAAACTAGTGGTCATGGGGTTCTTTGTTCCAATCTTGAAAAAGCTGATCATCCTTATTTTGGGGTTCTTGCTAAGGTTTGTTATGGTGCCGCTTGTTATAGGTTTCGTCTACTATGGAGAAGGAGTATGGATGAGGCGGCTGTCCAAGATGAGTTGGACCAAATTTCTTGAAGTGTATACATACGGTATAATAAATATTTCACTGATACACTTAACTATATTTGGCTTTAAACATTGGACACATCACTCTTGCCGTTACCAACATCGTTTGCGGCAAGCTGATCTCTCGATTGATCACCGTCTGCATGCTCCGGGCCATGCTGCCGAGGTAGATGACAACGATCCTCATCCTCATAGAGACCGCCTTGAGGCATCCGATGGAGATTGGGAGGATTACGATTCACAAGACGAAGACACCGATGACGAGGCATTCTGTGACCTCTCGAAAACAGGTTTTGTGGCTTCGGCTCATGATTGGATCGATCTGGTGAAAGGGCTGTTCGGCATTGATGAGCGTTTCTTTTTTTCTTTAGCCAAAGATCTGGGAATTGCGTGTCCTTTAACGCTTATCCTACGCGCCCGCCAGGGGTTAGTCATTGCATTCACCATATTTGTAGCCACGTGGGTTCTGTGGCAAATATGGATTCCGATCAGGAAGATACGAAATCCTCGACGCCGCTATGAGGAAGTTCTAGAGCGCCTGGAGTATCTAAGCTCGGCGGAGGTAACGTTTCTATACGTTACTTACGTTTTTGAGATGTTACTTTTCTCATTTATCCTTCCAATAATAGCTGGTGTTGTCGTTCACTATGGAACTGCACCTTTCCTAGTAAAGATACCAGATTCGTTTTCCTCTTTTCTGGAGGGACTGAACATTTTTAAGGTCGTTGGGTATTGGATCATGGGGACCTTGTGCTCCTTGATTCTAATGAAAACCATGCACAACATTATTGTGCCTCTTTTTGCGCATGGCGTGGAACTCTTTTTTGTTCGTAGTTTAGACTTCCGGTCTTTGGATACCAGTACTGTGCGACTTAATCTTATGTTCGCTCGGGTTTTTGATGTCAGACTATCTCACGTCGTTTCTGATTTCTTGGCAGTCCTTATTTTCGAGATCGGGGCGTTGCTCTTTTTCATTTCCGTGCCGTGTTGGGTTACATTTGGTATTCGTGAAGCCCTTTTTGGTGATTTGTCAAGCGGGCGCCTAACAACACCACTGTCTTTGGGCCTTCCGTCCCGCAGTGATCAGCTTTTCAGACTCAAGGTTCATGACGTACAACAGTTCCTTAAGACGAATAGTGTACTTGACTCGTACAGTATTCCAACGTATTCAGAGTTACAAAGCAGGACTAACACACCTGCGCAAACCATTGTGCTGGATCAATTAGCTAAAGAGATTTCCTCTGACACTCAGTCTATCTCAACGACTGTGACGCCGTTATCACTAGATGACACCAAGCCTCTTTATAGTTCCACAGCATTCGCGTTGACTGTTGCAGCTATGCGCAATGACATCCCTATTTTCAACAGGTTATTACTCTTAGAGCACCAAGACTGGGGTACAATCAGCACAACTTGGCTCTTATTGCGAGTTTTCGCCTCGTCTGGATATGTGTGCCGTGCTTGCCTTCTTAGTGTTGGTCTTCAACTAGGCCTCTTTGAGATGTCAAATCTGACTTCATTATCATTCCCTTCAACAGTCAGCCCGTTTGAAGGGAGTACGCCTGGGAATGCAGATCGAACGCACACAGATTTACCACAAAAAAAGAGTAATATTACGCATGATTTCATTCTCTACAAGGATTTGCTGGTTGATCATAGTCCTACCATCCTGCAATGGAAAGCACCATGGATGATCCCTATTTATGGGACCTATGCGGACAAACAAAACAAGAGAGTTTCCAATTGCCCCTTCGGTAACTGCAGCACAGTGCATAAATCTGAAAGGCTCACTCCAGCCGCGGGGCTCAGGCCAGAGGCTGTACAAGGATTATTCGGGCAAGTGACCAACTGGGATGACAACTCTATAGTCTGCCTGGTGCTGGTATTGATTACTTTTCTTTGCAGAATACCTGGTTTCAGTTCTGCTAGCAGGTTTATCCTGGATCTTTTCCTGAATCATGGAAGCTTCGTTTTCTTTATGCAAAGCGTTGGTCTTGTCAGCATGACACTCATTGTTTTCACGTGCTTGTTACAGTTCCCCATTCAAAAAATGCAGCTCAGGTATCTCCGACCTTTTGTGTTGTTTTTTGGACGGCATATGGGTCTGGAGGCATTCCTTTTTGACGCGGATAGGCTGAAACTAGTTGATCAGTTCCTGAGAGATAGTCGTCTTGATTACTTGGATATACCAATAGTGCCACCTGAAGAAATTCTTATGCATCGAGAATATGCTCTACCAAATCAAAAAATTCCTTCCTATCATCGGCTGCGGCTTTTCGTGTTCGCCTTGCTTCTCTTATTAGTTGGCACATTACTCTTTTGGCTCCCTTTTATTCCCATTTTCTCCCTAATGCTGTGCGTGCCGTTCCCCACTGTTACAATGCTGTTGGGAGCAGCTTGTGTCTTTTTCTTTCTCTTTGACCCCTCAGAATTCTTCGAGTGTGTCTTTTTGGCACATGGCTTGATTGTTGTGCTATTAGGATTCACTCTATTTTCTTCTTATTGGGCCTTAAGCAAATTGTCCTTGAGGAAACTTGCTATAGAAACCTTTTTTTACATCTCTAAGGTTAAACGTCATGTGAGTGTGTATGATCTAGAAAGAGAGAGCTCCGGGGAAGAGGATCGTAATCGTCCAAAAATGCTTTTCATTGTATAGAAGGCGTCGCATACGGAGCAGCGTCCGATTCCTTTGTCCCTGATGGCGATAATGATAACAGGAACGTTCTAGCACGATGAATAAAAGCATGATTATTTTCATTCCCTCGAATTTCACATGGTAGGTCTACGTTCAATGGAGTTTAACTCAGTAAACCAAAATTACTTAAAAAAATGATCATGATGAAAAACTTATTGATTATTAGAAGTGCGCTTCTCTTACGTTTTTTTTCCCTATGCATAACAATTTTAGTTAATATTTTTTATGTCATACGAATAATATGTGCCTTGCGTCAGGATGGATGTGAAAGAATGGGTTTATCTTATCCCCATGATCTTGTTTTCTGAATCTAACAAGGAATGGACGAACTATTTTTTTTTGTGGAGTTTTCACCATTCTGGGTTAAGGAGTTTCGTCTCCTAATTACTTTGTCTTCTATGCATTCATGTGATGGTAACGACGCAACTGTGGGTCTAGTATTTCTTACAGTGCTGATGCTAGTGTGTGTAGTCACCTTTTTCTATGCATCTTTTTATAACATGAATTGCAGAAGAAACATAACCCTTTTCCTTCCTAAAAGAAATTACCCTTGCCGCTAGTAGTCTAATATTTCAATAGTGATATTGAATCATTTATATATCAGCATATTAGATATGAATCTAAAATGGGGTACATATATAGAACCCAACATTCTGTTCATGTTTCCCCTATCGATGCTATGCGATTGACGAGTCTTTGTGTTCCTCAGATTTTACACACGCATCAAGAGACATCCCCATATCGCATGCGTGCGTTTAAATGGCCTTTAGCGAAGGTCTCATCACTTCCATTGGAGGGTCCACTCTGGAGATGGTTTTATCGGCATCGTAACCGGTGGATCGAAAGTCCGATCAAGCAGATGCCGCATCAGGTCCGAGGCCTTAGTTCTCTTCAAACGGGATGTTCTATGAACGGACTATTAGATAATGAGGACAATGAATCTGAGGATGATATTGAGGGCTGGAAAGTCGAGGAAACCATATGCGCTGCAACGGTCGAACTTACGTCTTCTGTTGTGGGTAAGTCCATTGCTACTGCAACAAATATGGCTTGGACAGAATTTGGCCCTACTGGCTCGACTTCCACGACCGCATCTGTGGAGGTGGTCGATACCTTGGATCCATTTGCAAAGGCCAAAATATTGAACTTTGTTCAGCGAATGATTTCACTCTCTTCCACCTCTTCAAATGCCACTGTTAAAAGCGTAGCGAACAATGGTCTTCTCAAGTCTTGTGATAAATCTGTGTACGGGCCAGAGATACGTGAGGTGCAGGGTCACTCTGGTGGGAAAAAGCAATACCATGCCATGCTGAGGCTGCCTCTTCCAGTCGAGTATGGTCTGCGCTATGGTGAGGGTTTCGCAAGCACCGAGAGGGATGCGGAGCTGGTGGCGGCCATGCACGCTGAGCGCGTCCTTGACGCTCTGGGTTTTCATGTCTATCAGCTTTCCTCTAAGCAAAGTCGACATGCGGAGATTGCGCGGAAAGCAGGGCGTTGGGCCCCGATGCCGGGTGAGGGGGAAGGGGGGTCGTCACGGCCCCCTCCCAACACCCCTTCCCCGCCCCCTCTCCAATACGCTATAGAAGACGTATCAAGGAGTGTGTCGCGGCAGCTCCAACTGGATAAGGTATGCTTTGTCAACGTTACTCGAGGTGTCTTTACCCCTTTTCGGCACACACTTGCTTCTCCATACTACTACGATTTTGGTAGTATTAAACGGATACAATCTTTTTTCAAAGCATATAACGCAAATATCGAGTGTTACTTCAAAGTGATTGCGCTACATAAGATTATCAATAAAGAAAATAAAAGACATGAAGGGAGTGAAAGTGGAAGCGGCCAACCCAGCGACGCCAATATGGAAGAGACACATTCCTTTTTGGCGCAACTGAAGCTACCTATCGCATCTCGTTTTGGAGAAAGGGTGTGCATGGGAAAAGGACCAACAAAAAAAGAGGCCATTGCGTTGGCATGTATGCATGCGGAGTTGACCATAGATGCCTTGGGGCTTGCTCTGTATCCCACAAGTAAGGAGAAACAAGCTATACATGCTATGGAGTGCGCAAAAGTACAGCGATGGTGCGCTCCTGTAGGTGACTGCGACTTCCGCTATGATGCTGCCTCGCCGCAGCCACTGCAGATGTTACCGGATCACATGGTGGCAACGGATCGAGGAACGTCAACGTTGTTATCTGAAGCGCATGTAACTCGGTGTCACTATGTTGATAACTACAGCACATCTAATGTACCCATACCCGCGACGAGGAGTGCTGGGGAAGAGCAACTAATCGTAAGCGGGAGGACTGCATCTCACACTATGCCGCCAAGTGATGAATTTAATGGTTTCACTACAAGCACGGGATCCCTCATTTCTGAGCTACAAAATGACGGGACCTCGGTCGAGTCTATGTTGATACAGCATACCCATGCAGTAAATAACTTTGGATGGGTGCAAGATGTCGGAAGCGTAGACAAGTCGGCAAAGCTGCTGCTGGATCACTATTTAGATCATTATTATCAAATTAAATATTCAAAGAACGCAAATTCATCACCTGGAAGTCTTCCCAATAGAAAAGTGCTTTTACCATATCTAGTTGAGTGCCTTGGAATCAAGCACCGCGAAACTTACCGAGCCACTGTAACGGTACCTCTTTTCGTATCTCAACGGTGTTGTGAAGGTGCGAATCAAGGTGTGTGTGAGGGACAAAGTCATGAACACAGGGAAAAGGAACGTGATAATGGCAAGATATCCGATAAGAATGCTACTTTTGTGGCTATTGGTATAGCCAAAACTTATCACGAGGCTGAAATGGCAGCCGCCACGCATGCTTTGAAAGTATTGGCTGCTTTAAATCATCCAGTCGTGTTTTCTTCGGAGTCCGCATTCTTACTTACTTCTTTCACGACTGCGGTAACGAGTGACGGTAGACATGGCAGCTTCCCATGCTACGACCCCACAAGGCCTGTCAAGAAACTGCATGAAGTCACGTCTCATTCCTCATGTATGCCCGTGCGTTGCATAGGGAAGGAACACGTAGGTCGTATCAGCATCGCAGGCCTGAGTTCCGAAAAACAGCTTAGTGTCACTCCAGTGAACCGCAGTGCTGCTGCTGCATCTTATTCTTCGTTGACCCCTTCGTCGCGTTTTTTTAGTGATGCTAACCAGAAAACAAAACTTATGGAGTCTCTTTTGGAAGCCCGTCAGACGCTATCAAAGTCTGATTGGCTTCTGGAGGAGGATGGCAACAACCGCATTGTGGTAAACCCGGCTTCTACTCGAGAGTCAGGGCGAAACTACGTCCACACGCTGTCCGGGGTACGCACTCCTGATGTTTTTGCTATTAATCGACTCCGAGACTACCTTGAACGACACGGGAAATCTCTGGAAACTTCACTCATGCACTCGTGGCAGGAAGTTGATGATGAAGGCGTTACAATGGCTCAGGAGTCATCGAAGCAAGGCAATTCTGCGTTTCCTCAGACTGATACCGGTAGGAAAACGCATCTACGCCCACTGTTACACGTTATCAAGGTAGTTTTACCCGTTTCACATAGGTTTGGTGGCGCGGGAGGAAGGGTTGAAGGTTCTGAGGAATGTGAGAATTCGAAGTTGTCAACCCGTTTTATTGCGCACGGTGAGGCGTACAACGAGGATGATGCCGTGCTGATGTGCGCCATGCACGCGGAGTTGCTTTTAGACACGATTGGTATTCCCTTTTATGATCACCCCGTGCTGCAGCGCAAACACATCGATACAGCTAATATGCTGGGTCGTCAAACTGCTGTCGGTTCTGCTGCCAAGGCACCAGCCCCTCTACGCAAAGAGCACCCCAACTCTTGTTTATGGGCTCGCATACAAATTCGTCTTGCAAAAGAAGCGACGACACCATCTCAGCCTTTAGTTAAGCGACCAGAAGACGTGTCAGAGACACCAACCACCGTCTCATTTCCTTCTCAATCTAACATGACAACACAAGCTGATACTTTGCCAAATAATCAGTCAGGGTCTTCAGCGAATGACTCGGATGCGTCTGCCGCTTCTTTTGAGTACACAGATGATAATCTCTGCGACATTTCCAAACTGCAGTCGCTGCACCACACTGAAGTGTTTCGTCAGGCATTGAAACACATTCGAGTTTATTTTCAACAACGAGGCAGCGATTTCTTTCGTATGGTGCGACAATATACTGTCAAGACATCATCTCATGGTACCGTGTATCGTGCCATTGTTGAGATACCGGTGCCCAGGGTGTACGGCAAACGCTTTGGGGTGGGGTGTGCTAGCACGAAGGGGAGAGCGCTAAATCTCTGCGCATCTCACGCCGTCTGGACGTTAGATGCGCTGAACATTCCGATTTACTCAGGCCGGTGCCAATTTGAGTACGCAAAGTCATGCAAAATAGCTGGACGACGCTCCCCAACGCCAGGAGGTACACTTATGCCTGGAGATACGCCTTCTCCTAAAGGCTTGTGTGACTTGTCTGTCGGCGCTGTAGAGCGACCGGATCCCCCAGCCCTACCGAGTTTCGAACAAGTTGAGAGAGATCCTGCGGTTTGGATAAGTTATGTCCGCGCATGCAAAATTTTTCTGAAGAAAACCCAAGAGATCACTCTACATGAGTCGATTTTTCAACTACATCAGGCACCGCGAAGCGGAGTTGCGGTTGAGGATGAGGGTTTGAATTTAGTGGAGCGTATGCCCGTCAACAGCCGCGCCAAACACCAACTCGTACGCCTCTGTGCGGATGCCGGTCTGTCACGACCCGAGCCTTTTCGATATAATGTTTACGGTAAGGCACCCGAGAAATGGTTTCTTGTAGAAACCCCTGTCTTGGGAACCGTTTTCAAGGCCCGAGGTTTGGCTCAGAGTGCTGCCGACAGTCTCTTACGGGCTGCGATGCACTACGAATATTTGATCCAAACGGCTGTTCTACCTCAAAGAACTTTGTCTACTTTGGATAAAGGCTTTCAGGGTGGGCGTCCCCTATCCACCGCTGGTGAACGGTTGCGACGAGGCAAGGATCTTTTTGACAGCACCAAGGGAGGTTTTTCTACGCAAGGCAAGGCGGCTGCCTTAGCGCTTTATGCTGCGACGCATCGCCCCTACCAACCTGTGCAATTTATTTTGCGAGAAGGGACAATCGGTTCAGCATTACCTCCCTCATTGTCTCAGGCGGGAAAAAATCCAGTTAAGAATCCACTTGTAGGGAAACACATAGTGGTAGCCGCCGAGCTAAGCGATGATCTTGGCTTGCGTCACTCAGCGAAGGGGGAACATCCAAACAGCGTATCTGAGGCAGTAGAGAGAGCTTCAAACGGGCTTTTTAATCTCCTCCAGCGCAAAGCGGCAATACAGTCTATTGGGCAGGTCATTAAGCGCCATCCTTCTATGCGCATGGGGGTTTTGTGCACGCTTGCAAATGAAAACGAGGAGGCGGGCGTTGCTTCATTAGATGCAACATTAATCCCATTGTGCAAGGCCGCAAAAAAGAGTGCTGGTGCAGCTCCTTTTGTATGTGAAGAATTCATATTAGATGAATTGAAGGGTCTCCCATTGGAGGGGTCTAGAGATTTGTTAAGCTCGTCTCACGCGGCAGTGCTACTAGATATTGTATCCCGCCGATTAGATCAGTCAACCACGCATGTGTCGCTGATGCCACCTGCTTTTATTCGTGACAACTTTCCAGCCCTTGGACTTCTTCTTGCTGATTCTGCGCATAGGGGTGAAAGCTCAAGTAAATCTAAACCAGACAAAACACCAAAGGAAAGTGTAACTCCTGTAGCCGGAGCCGTTGCCTTGCTAATGCAATGCATTCCGCGACAAACTATAGTGGGGGGGCGAGATCATACTCTCCAGCACGGGCCGTTGCTGCCTATACAACTGGGGAAGTTGCTTCTTGCGGGGTTGCTCTTTGATTGTGTACCTTTTGCAGTGCGCATGGCGGCGATGGTCATGGACTTGCAGGGGATTTGTAGCATCGCTAATAAGCATTCCCACACTTTCTCAGATCAGGGGAGTGAAGGAGGGGTTCAGGAGCGACAGTTGCATAGTTGGCTAAGTGTCGATCTTGTTGAGGAGGTGCTTCATCGGGCGTCCCCTCCGTCATCTTTGGAGACAACATATGAAAATGAAATTTGTCTGCGCTTGTGTGAACTTCAAACACAAATCATGCAATATGTTCCAGCGTCCCAACTTTCGAGGCTGTTTTCTCAGTTGCAGAGCTTTAAAGGGATCATGCGACAGGAAAATCGTCTGCAGAATGAGGCAATGCAGAAGGAAGTTACTTTTCTCGAAGCTCGGCTCCGCATTTGTGTGGCGTTCGCCACATACCCACAGGTCCTTACTCCTAGAGTTGTGAGTCCGCGCATCGTGGGGGAATCAATTGTTCCTGGTGCGGCGGACCCCTCCATCACAGTTCTGGAATCAATGGATGGCACGCAACAGGCCTACATCAAGATCTCGGCGCGCCACGCACGCGCCCCTTTTGCGTTCTTCGACGTCTTGCTGCGCAGCAACTCTGATGCGGGGCAGGCTGTTTCACCTGGAGAAGCTGATACCCTAGAGCAGCGGAAGAGTTCCTGTCATCGGCAGGTTGGGACGGGGCACGCACACGTATGCGTCGCCGGCACCTCTGTGATCCCTTTTGCTAATATTGTGGCGACTGTGTTGGGCTGTAACAAATATCATGTGTTTTCAGTGGTGGAGGAAATTCCAAATCTGGGGATTATGCTAGAGGGTACTGTGCCTCTGGTGTTTCAATCTACGGCTGTGATGGATGTAGTAGGTGAGCTTCAAGATGTATTTGCTCAGTCCCTGAGCTATTTGAGGCCACCACCACATGAAGCCCTGCATGCATTGGATATACTGTTACGTTTGAGTGAAAACAGCAATAAGCTATAAGTATATATATATTTGCGCACTGAAACGCTGGAGAGACAACACAGCAAAACAAAAATCGTTGTCAGGTGCTTTCTTTCAACAAACGTGAGCATTCGGCCGATTGAAATTCATTTCACAGGTGTGTTACTCTTGCTTCTAACGATAGTTGACTACTCCTTTTCAATTCTCCCAAGTATTCGTCGATGCATTGTTGTTTACACATAGGTAATCTAGAACCATACAAGGATATATACATATATTCCCTTGCTTGCATCGGTAAGTAAGTTTAAGATCTTTTTTCAAAAAGGTCACATGGTTGTTGCACTCGGACGTTCTATTCAAAATCCTTTTTACATTTTTTTCCAAATTGTCAATGCTGTCAGCGTATTTTTTGTGATATTGGGTGGCACGCGTTTTCTGATTTGTCTCCTTATGTCAAATGAAAAATTATATCAAAATATTTCAGTGGAGAAGAATGGGGACATGGACAAGCGTGTTAGTCCTAACACATCGCGTGCAAAGGACATGTGCCCGGAAGCAGTAGGCACAAAGCCTACTTGTGCTCAGTCATTTGGGTCTCCTAAAGCATGGACGTCCTGTTTACATGTTTCTCCGAGTTCACTTTTTAAGGATCCCTTAGTCTCTGGAAGGGACCGAAACTGGCTCTCTGAATCTCCTGGAGTCGGAATTAGTTTTTACGAGTTTCTTTTGATGCACGTGTTGACAAGCGTGCTCATGGCCTACCCACTTTCCTTATTGCTGCAGCGCCGAAAACTTGTTTTCGATTTCATGCTTACCATTTATGGGGTTTATCTTCTGCTAACTGACATCGTACTGCACCGTGTGATGGGTGGTGGTCTTAATTGGTGGTTCGCTGTGTTGTGCGGAATAACAGTTTTGTACAGTTGCACGTGGTGGATCTGTCGCCATCGCGAATTACAAGAAATTCCCATTACTCTAATGCATATAGAGATGACGACGATGTCTCCATCAGATAGAGCATCACCTCAAAAGTGTTTCAGGGGAGGAGGTGGTTCGAATCATGGCAAAGACAAGTGCAATAACGTACCGCAGGCAACGGATCTTTTTATCGCCCATGACGAGGGTAACTCTGTGGGAGTACCGGTTACAATACCTATTATGGATAGTAGGTGTAAAGACGAATAATGGGAAAGAGCTCTCTTTGGTGGCGGAGGGGCAATCTAAAGGAATGCCAAGAAATTTGAACCATCTTTTCTTTGTTCTTGCAGTTTCCCTTTTTAGGCATTTTAAAAAATCATCTTTTCTGACGGAAGATTGTGTTTGAATGCAAGTTAATCTGCGTCATTAGAGCTTAAGGGACTCATTGGTCTGTTGCTTGTTCTTGCTGAATCTACTGAACTATCCATGCTTTATTCACCGAGTATTTATTCTAAACCTGAAAAAAAAAGCGATGTACCCCTAAATGAAAAGGAAATTGGTACGCACTTACACAGGAAAATTACCGAGGGGGTTCTCTCCTTCAGGCTTCGTATGCTGTGGTTAACACCAGTATCATATACCATGATTGCTAATTTTTTTTATTGAATAGATTAACTCCTTATTTTAGATCTTCTGAACGCACATACACACACGTATATATATATATATATGTATATATATATATACAGTGGCTCAGTTATAGAGTCTCATATTTCTCTCTTTTTTTGCAAATAGTTTAATAGGAAATTAATATGTACAAGTATTCATCTTATTCACGTTTATTAAATGTCACTGTATTCATTTGCCTTGCATTAATGCTGTGCATGATGCCATTTCTTATAGGGAAAATGACTTATGCCTACATTGATAAGCCCAAATATTACAGTGAAGGGGATGAGATTCAGTTTTGGGTTTACCCTATTCGTAGTAGTCGCTCCTCTGAATCTAAGGACTACTACAGTTTGCCCTTCAGCGCTCCTAAGGAAATTATGTCTAAATCACGAACCGCCAGCGAGATCGTCCGTAATGAGGAAGGTCAAAGTTCACTGTATAAAGTCAAGATGCTAGTCAACTCTAAATGTACTTTTTTATCCGACTGGAACACTACTCGTAATATTGAGGACCTTCGAATGAACCGAAAGTTACTTGCCGATGCGATTGAACAAGGATATCGAGGATATATGAAACTTGACGATTTATATGTGTTTAGCAACGGCAGCGTGCCACAATTCGACCTTTGCACTCGCCGGCCGAAGTATAATGAAAATTTTCCCAAGTGGGGCTACGTCTTGGGAGTGTCTAAATTCTGCTCCGGAGTTAAAACCTATGTCAATAATCATCTCCATTTTATAATTTATTACAAACAGCGAAGACAACTTCGTGAGTTTGATGAACACAGTGATGAAGTTAAACGATATATGATAATGGGCGTCAATGTTGTCCCCTACAGTGTAAAACGATCAGACCATGGTACATGCAATAGTGATTTTGACCCCAATAGCAATCTATTATATCCAGCTGATGTTGGGGATTTTACCGGTCCCTTTTGGTCTTACAGTGTGGAGTGGCTCCCGTTTGACTCCTGGGTTTCCCATTGGAGTGCCTATTCTCAAAGCTCTTTGCTGTTGACCTCACTTCGTGCTCAATTGGTTTATATCAGTGAGAGCTTTGTGGTGGTGTTGGTGCTTTGTGCCTTCATGGCAGTTGGCTTGCTCAGGGCCCTACGCAGGGACATGATGCAGTACAACAACGCACCTCTCGAAGCGTTGCAAGAGGAAACAGGCTGGAGGCTCGTGCACGCGGACGTGTCTCGCCCGCCAGAGAAGGCGATCCTATTAAGCATAATGGTAGGGGGCGGTCATCAAGTGCTCTTCACACTGGTGGCTGTGGTACTAACCTACTTGTTTGGGGCTATTCCACCCCTTAGGAAGAACTCAATGTTATTTTCAATCCTCTCCCTTTTGCCCCTCATGTCTCTCGTTGGCGGATATACGTGTGGTACGCTTTTGCAATATCTGAATCTTAAAGCATGGAGGCATGTGTTTTTACTCGGGTGTGGGATTCCTGGGGTGATGTTAGCTATGTGCATGACAAAGGATTACATTGTGAGACGCTCAAATTCGTCTATGACAGACTCTTCTACACACATGCCATATTTCTTCGTATTATTTGCTGTGAACCTGTTTCTCACCATACTGGGGGCTTTCTTCGCATTCAACAGAACACCCCTGAAGAGTCCAACTGGTTTCAGTCGCCTTGAACGTGAAATTCCCAGACAGCCGCTCATGAACCGTCGGTTTATGTTATACACTGTTCCACCGATCCTTCCGTTTTTAGCTATTATCTTGGAGTTTCACTACCTCATATACGCAATATGGATGGGACAGATGAACTATGCCTTTGGTCTTTTAGCGCTTGCGAGCATGATTTGGGTTGTTATGTGCGCCCTTGTGACGATATTTCAGCTCTACTACCTCTTACGCCATGAGAACCATCGCTGGTGGTGGCCCGCGTTTATGATCCCGGGCGGCATGGGGTTGCACGTGTTCGTCTACTCCATCTTCTTATGTGCGCAGCTCCACATCAAGGGCTTCTTTCCGATGCTTCTTTATTTTATCTATATGGGTGTAGTATCGATTGGGTATGGTCTCGTTGCTGGAGCAATTGGTGTTACGGCCGGTCTTTTCTTTGTGCGTAGAATATACAGCAGTATTACAATAAAATGATATGAATAGCCAAGAGGGGGTAATTAAGTATCAGGTATCGTTGGGGATATTTTATTCCTATGGGGTGTAAATGAACGACCAAAAAGACACTCTTGGAGTTACATGGCACTATAAATGTAGGGGGAGGGGACGGGACGATAAAAGTAAATATTGGTCATTTTTGTATCTGTGTTATATTAGCATGCTTTAGATTCTGCATTAAAGTAAATCTGAGTGAATTAATGAATTCTGAGCCGCATGCTCCACGTTTCCAGGAAAAAGTGGAATTTAGGAAGAGAAATTAAAATCTTGAGGGATGCGTTATTTTTCTACAAAGTACTAATTACTCACTATTGAAAATTCCGACGAGGTCAAACATCTTACCATAGTATATGGATTTAACACTTTGAGTTGAGGGGGTAAACCAAGTGCCTCCACTCTTTCCTTCCAGTCAGTTGCGTCGTCGGGGTGTTAGGCGCAGCAGGAAGGCCAAAAGGGGAATGCCCTTTAGGGCGACTTGTGATCATACTTTCTTTTACATATGCCTCTTGGTTATTTTAACTGTGCGGTCGTGTGGATCTGTTCTAATCACACTCACTATTGAGAGAGTTTACTCCATCCCCCCTTCCCCCCTCCCATTTGTTAGAGATGTTATGACGTGCATAACCTAACGAAATAGTATACTTGAATATCTATCTATTGGGGAATCATATGAAAGAGGTAAAAGTGAAGTTGGAGGATTGTAAAGTTGATTGTTTTCGTGCTCATATCAATATGCATATTTACATCTGAAATGCAGTCATGGTTGTGACTGTTTATGCTTGCCACTGAGCCTTACGGAGGCCAAAAATTCAATAATTGGTGTATCGGAGCGACTCTGAGCTTTCATTTTACCTCTCTTCTAATTATTGTGTATTTTAGAGAACCTATAACGTTGAAATGCAAGTATACTCTTCTCATAAAATGCACCACTCTACGTTTGGCGGTTCATTGGGTGATTGGGATGGACATATGCAAAAAAAGTCACCCCTCAACAGATGAATAATACACCATACATTTGTATAAACAGGGTGAAAATAGTTTAGAACAATATGAATTCCTGCATATCGCTTAGAAACATATCAATTTCTAATTGGAACGAACGCAAACCGAAGGAACTAAGCTTAACCCCTTTGATATTTCGTGACACCTTTTCGGTATCAAAACATTTAAAAGTTTGCTCCACTGTGACTTAATTTCTTCGTGAATTTTCGGAAGTTAAAGATAACGCTTTATTTTTTATGAAAAAAGGTCATACCATGTTAAGCGTAAAAGATTAACCAAATTATAGCCTATGATTTTGATTTTCAGGATTGAATTGAACATTTTTTCATCTTTAAAGTTCATTTCCTCTCTTGCTGTCCTTTTTTATTTCTGCATATGCATTGAAAATTGCTTCAGTGCCCTTATTTAGTTTTTAAGAAAATCAAGCAGTTGCTTCTAGGGCAATAGATATAATGATTGAAACAAACAGTGAAGATAGCGACTGCCTCGTCATTCGCACCGACCTCATCAAGGCTCTTCTTAGGCATCAGAAATGTGATGATTCTATGTTGGAGTCCAACCGGGTTAGTGATGATGTTCGGGAAAGCGGTAAGTCATCCCTAAATGCATTTAAAGCTATCTCTGAAGCCGCACAGAGACCTTTCCATGATGCCCCTTGTGTTAGCAGTGGTGGTTTAATTGAGGAATTCGTGCGCGGCTGCCCGCCGCTGGGGGTGTCGGCCTGGGCTATGGAAGAGTGCCTGCGAGTTTCCCCAAAGGCAGAGACGTGGTGCGGCAGTGCTCTTCACCCTAAGGTATGGGGCTTTCCAGGAACAACTCATTGCCCTTTCATGACGCAATCATCTGACTTCCTAACTTTTTTGTTGAATGAATGAGGGCATTACCGTTGTTGGTTACCCCGTTTTTTTTTTTGCGTGGAGGTCTCCTAGAAACTCATGGCCCATTTACGTGCAATACACTAATAAACGTCTTTGTCTAACCTTTTTCTATACTCTATTTGTGTCTTGTACCTCCGTACTGCGGAATTTTAACTCACGAGAATTACAGAGCGTCTTACGATTAGTGAAGCTCATTATTGTTATTATTAGTGTTACTCCTGATGTTTACCCTTAAGAGGTCTTTTTTCCCCTATTTTGTTCATTTGTTCGAATCTAAGCGGATCCTTAGTTCCAGGGTAAAGAAGGGTACGCTAATACTGACGCACAAACGCAATGAAGATTAACCTCAGGTGTTTAGTTTCCAGGGTTAATTCTTTAGAGCTACCCGAGTCGGAGGCCACAGAGAAGGAAGTCCAGATAGCAAATCCGCGGGCGACGTTGCTGCAGCTGCGGGCCACGGCTGCTGTTCAGTTTCGTCTAAAAGCGCACGGCTTTTCGATGGTTTACTGTGGTGAAAAGACAACTGTCAACCTATCAGATGAAAAGAAGCTCCTTGTAGATTGTGGTCTGGAGGGAGGCGATTTGATTCTGCTTATTTCAAAGCATATACGTTCTGAGAATGGCTGCATGCGCGGAAACGAGATGAAAACAGAGCAAGCCCCCTTTGCTGATGTACTCCCACCCCTTAAAGAGGCTCGCTTTGAGATTGGAGAATCTAAATCGCAATTGATTGATGCAATTGACACTGCTACTGCCTCCTCTTCTGCCATTTTACCGCCAGAGGTTGTAGCAACGTTTCCCAATAGTCAGGAGTTACCTACGGGTGAAAGCGAGTGTGATAATAGTGATTCTAGCATTGCTAGTGAGGACGATGATCTGGCGAGTGAACCAGGGGGTAATGAAAGCGGGGACGGAGCTCGTGAACTCTACAGCCGCCTCTTAGAGGTAACCCCTAATTTGGTTGAGATGCGGGATAGTTTCCTTGCTGATCCTCGTGCTGTTTTGGAGCGTGTGAAGGCTGAGGATCCCACCTTGTCCGAACTCATCGCCGAAAACCAAGAGGATTTTCTTGTTTTAATCAACAACCCAACACTGGTGCATGCGCTTCAGGCGGAGAAAGAAGCCCAAGAGAATGGGGATCTTTTTGGGGATGAGGAGATGGTGGAGATACCCGAGGAGCTTATGGAACTTATTTCTCAAGAGGTTCTTGAAGAAGGAGAGGAAAGCTTCGAAAATGTCAACCTAGATTCGCGTGAATGGGATAAAGAGAGCATTTTGGCCTACGCCCCCTCGGAGGACGATGAGAAAAAAATCCAACAGCTTGTTTTGCTTGGCTTTAGCTACGAACTGTCTAAGTTGGCTTTCTATCGCTGTCTGCGAAGCTTGGAGCGGGCTGCAAACATGCTGTTTGAGAATCCGCCGGAGTTATAAGCAAGTAGTAAAATTGAAAGCGAATAGAGAACGTAAGAAACTAAATTAATACAACTAGGCCAGAAGCCGACTCTTCCTCTAAAAAAATACGACTGGAATACATAACCACAATCACAGGGACTTTGTTCTTATTCAGAGTGTCGGCCCTTGTTAGTAAATGTTGTTAAGGTTAAACTATTCAGAAATTTTAATCCACGTTATTCGAATTTCTCTTTATTTCATTGAAGAAGATTAATATCGTATTCGTCTGTAGGAACTGTTGTCTTCTTCATCTCCCCTTATGGGAGTAAGCCCTTAAGGGGGAAAAGGGTCAGACAAAATTGTGGCTACTTACATCTATTTTTATAAATTCCCTCACGCATATATATACATATTTAAGTAGCTTAATTCATTGTTCCTTTTCTTCTCTTTTTATATTTGCTCTGATACTTTTTTCTCCGGATAAAGAATGCTCCAGATGCCCCATGACGGAGACTCAAACCTGTGTGGCTTCTCAAATTGCTGTTTTAGTGCATCTGGTGAGCTGTTTCTGACTGCCACCCCATGCGGCCTCCGCGCAATCTCCCTAATCGGATCATCTGCGACTTCCGCGGACCTGGCCAATCTACCCGTACCAAAGTCTAACGCAAGAATGGCATACCCAGTTGAGCCACCCTCACTCCCGACACGACTTTCCATGCCAACAGGAAGGCTGACAAACGAGACGTCGGGTACTTTACCCATTGACGGTGAGTCTTCTGCAACGGAGGGGTCATTTACCGTAAGACATGGCAGCACCTTTTTGTCTTCCTCGACGTTTTTGTGGAGCTCTCCCGTGCGCGTTGTGGCAGTGGCTGGGGATAGCCCTGTCGTTGCAGTTTTGTTCGAGCATACCGCGGCAACTTCGCGGGAGGGAAGCAACCGGCCACAGCACGGCTCTCCTCCTCTTTACACGGAGCCGAATATCCGACGCCCTGGGGGTTTGTCAACATTTTCAGGCTTCCAAGGTTGCCCTCATGTGCATTTGTTTGATGCATCTTCCGGATTGTGTTTGGCGGAACTTTACTTCCGTGGCGTCCTTGTGTATTCGCTCCTAGCGAATAGTCACTTTCTTCTTGTTGGTATGCGTGATTGCTTTCATGTAATTAATATACGGACGCTTGCCCATGTGCGGAAACAATCTGTGCCCAATTTGATAGGCAACGAACTTTTGACACTTTCCCAAACTCCGTTAATGGAGGTCTATATGCATCCCCCGCACGATGCAGAGCTAAAAGGCAAGAAAGGTATTGTAGACAGTCACCGGAAGCTGCAGGCAGCTCGTGAGGCCTGGCGTATCGCCTATCCGTCTCAGTCACAGAGTGCCTCATCTGAGGGCACCGGGGGAAGCGTGAGGGTATTGACCATTAGTCTTCCCTCTTCCTATGGTCTGCTGCATTCTGCACCTGCCCCTGCTATTCCTATATCAAATCCTGCACTCGCGTCATCCCTAGCACAACAAAATCGAAGCCAATTTCCACAACACGAGCCACCACCACCGCCATCTTTGGCAACACCTGGAGTCAGGGCTGATACAGTTTATCAATCGCAGCTTGTCATTTCACCCCATCGCCATACCCTTGCTGCCCTTCAGCTTTCCATGGACGGTGCTCTTCTTGCCTCAGCGTCTGTTCTCGGTAGCACTGTCAAGCTCATGGATGCCATCTGTGGCGTTGTCCTGCATGTTTTTCAGCGTGGGCACCTGCGCGCCACTGTCCTCGCGTTAGCATTCAATCCAAACGCTAGTTCCCTAGCCGCTCTTAGCAGTGGTGGCACTTTACATATCTTTCATTATGGTACGGCTGTCATCTATGACGACACGGGTAAGCCTGGAGGGACGAAAGCAAAAAATAGCGCAACAATGAGCAACTCCAAGACGTCTGCCCTTGGTGGTATTTTAAATAACAAAAAGAAGAGAGCATTCATTAAAAAGGTTGTTTGCCCCTTGCTGCCTAACGCGTCGGCAGCTTTTCTGCGGCCCTGTTCCTCGCGGTCCCACTCCCATTTCTCAGTGGACCATGTGTTGCCCGTAAGGCGCAGAGCGAAGGCCGCAGATACCCCGTGCTTAGGGGAACATCATGGAAGTGATGTTTTGGGCTCATCAAGCGCAGCCTGTGGAATACCAAAAAATATTTTTCCGGTGGGCAACTTCGTGTATAGCATGTGCTTCTCTTCTGATGGAAAGCACGTGTGGGTGGCTCAGCAGAAGGCGTTTACGCGGTTTGAGAGCATGATGAAGCGCGGTGCCGCATCCGCCAGACAGGCTCCAGTAAATACAGATGCATTAGTAAAATCTGCTGATACTTTCATAGCAATTGACCCCAGTTTTGGCTTGAACGATTCTCACCTTGTGTATGCAAGTATACAACGCTTTAGCGTTTATGATGCGGGTTTATTTGCAAGTGAAATATACAATGTTAGGATATAAAATATTGATATTTCCGCATCGCAGTTATTGTGCGTCAGAAAAAAAAGGGGTTCAGACAAGGTTAGGGTGTGTGTGTCTGCAGACTTGTGCGCATCTTTCCTTGGAGAGAAGTGTAACCCTGGGGGTTTCTGGGTGTTTTTCCCCGATAAACGATACCTATCGTCTAATTATTTTCCTATACTTGCTTTTTATCACGCTTCAAACAATTGAGGCTTAAGCATTGCTTTGTATTTTGCTTGTAAAATGACTGCATCCACATAGGTGTGTTGTTTTAAACCGAAGCGGAACCGGAGTCGCCAACAATGCATTAAAATATAAAGTCAACTAAATAAACTTTTATTTCTGCTAAAGGTTTTCCGATTGACTGATGTGCTTGTTTTTTTTCTCGCATTGATTCTCTCAAAGCTTCCTTCCTTTCCTGGTTACTATCCTCTGAGAGTCAGCGACTTAGCTTTATGAAGGTGCATAGGAAACGGGCTCGAGAAAAAGATGTAGGGGATTTTGTAAAGAGGAAGAATAAAAAATTGGACACAACACCACCTGGTGAGCGGATTGATCAGCTGAGGGCTATTTGGTATGCGGCAGTCGCTGATTCGGTGGGGATTTCCAACAAAAGGAGCTCATGCAGGACTGGAAATTGGGTTCCCAATAGACACTACAAAGCCTTCTTTCAGACTAGTAACAAGGATTCTGCACACTCTTCCACTTCTACCCCAACATGTACTTTCGATCGTTACGATTTAGCGGGAACAAGCGAGATCAATGAACTGGTCCTCAAACATATGGCCATGAAGGAGCGTGATCCAGTTATACATGCAAATCGCTTTAAGCGCATCGCCTCACCTGATAAACGCGAGCCTGTAATGTTCAAACTAAACGCATATTGTTTTAACTTTGTCCGCTCTCTTGTGCATCCATTACATAACTTTTTACAGTATCACTACGATCTCCACAACGCGGATGAGCTTGAGGTCATGCTTATGCCATGTAAAGGACCTCTTGCTGAGGCGGACGCGCGCTATCATTGCCACTTGGGTTGCAAAACACCCACAGGGCGCAAAGGTGGTTCCACAACACGTGCAATTGAGTTAGGGCTTCAGCAAAGGGCGGTGCGTAGCGGTGACGCAAGCCTTAAAGGCCGCCATTGCTACGTTGCTACAAATAATGAAACACTTTCCGACGACAATCTTGCGGCCGCAGTACGGAACTGGGGTGTTTCTCGAGTTTTTGGCATCAGTGCTTTTACGATGCTCCGAACTGGTGCGATTGGACGACATGCTGAACAAAAGCTCTTGGAGTTTTTGTTTTCCGAAATTTTACCACATGCCGCACCAGAGTTCTTGCTCTCAAGCAGAAAGGAAAACCTCTTGCCGATGGAAAAGGCATTAGTTATAGGCGAACGACTCCCATGCGCGGTGTGCAAACTCTTTGCCCGGCGGTATGAGCCGTATGCTCAGATGCTGCCATCACACGGCCACCTATACTTGTCAACTGTCTGCACAACTCTTTCATTTGATAGTTCACTTGAGGAGCTTTTACTTTCTCCGGCCTCAGCAGCGTCAATTCTAATGGAAAAGGGATCCGGTCGGTGTCTTATGCACTAACATTTCAATAAAGCGCATCACAACAAGAGAAAACAATGAGAAAGGATGGGAGCAAACTAAACGAGTTTGTGGTTTTAATCATATCCATTGGTTTCTCCTCATCCTCCTGAAACTAATTTATTGTAATCCTTTCGCATCCCATACTTGATTGAAGTGCGCTTAAACAGCTTTACATCCTTACCCATTCTACCTCTAGCAGACTAAACATTACGATAGGCTTCAGATTCGTATCAATTGGATGTCTTGATGAAGTCTAGACTGAAAATTATCGCGAGACGACATATTGTTAGCACTAGGGATAATGAGAGGAAAATAAAGTTAGTGGATACCTCGCTACTAACATTCCCTCTCCTTCGATGGCATAATAGTGCGGAAATGACCTTTACTGTTGTCGTGGTGAACACTGGTGGAGATTCACCATATGAAAGTCTAGGAGGCAGTCTGAGGATTCTGCGATAAAGGGATATTGAGGTTGGGAAAGTACCCACATAAATTGGGCTCTGAGAGGGTGATCTGCCCCACTCAGGATTAGCCTTGCGTTTAAAACATACAGGAAAACTTTCTCTTGTGCAAGTGGTCATTTTGGTACTTTGTATATTTTTGCACTGTTGTGCCAAACTAATTTAATTTACCTATTATATCCTTCCATTTTGCACATTCCGCGATGATGTGGGATAGAAAAATGTAAAAGAGAGAGGGCAAAAGTATATTTATATACAAAGGTATTTTAAGCGAAGACTGGCTTTTTTCCCCTATCCTCGCGACTCTTTCAAAGGTAGTTATGGCTCGTGGCGTTAAGCACTACAACGGTGCACGCAACGAAGGCGGAACAGACTCCCTGGAACGCAAGGGGAGAGGACGAGGGAGTCGTCGAGGATACACGCAACTCAATGCAAGAACACCGTCGTCTGATACGGTGGCACAATCCCTCTCCTCCAGCGATGTCAGAGCTCATAAGCAGAAGAGAAGTCGTAGCGAGTCTGATATAGTACCCGAAAATGGTTATGAGGATGTTACACTCATTTACCCTAAGCCACGCCGTGGTCAGAATAATAGAGAAAAAAAACAGAACAGTTGGACTCAGGCAAGGGCTATAAAGGTTGGAGAAGATTCAGAGCTTGCGACTGCCGCAGCGATAGCGGCGCCTTTATCCTCAGAGGTCGTTGCAGCTCAGACAGCGACTTCACTGTCTCTGGGTCCGGCCACCATCACTTCCAGCGCAGATTTCGCGCACTCAAATTCATCGACAGGAACCACGGAACTTGCCTTCTGGCGTCGTCTTATAGATCGCCAACGGCTTGTGGACTCGCTGAAAAATAGTGGCGCAGCCTTGACAGCTTCCGATGCTGTCGACGCATCGACGCTGACGTCGGCGAACTCTGAAATGTGTCTATTTTCGGTTGGGGAGGATCGTCTACGGACATGTATTCAGTCCCTCTTGGATCTTAAAGGGTTGATGACCTATCGACGTCGCTGTGACAATGATTCCCCATCGATGATGGAGGGGTGGTACATCCCCCGTTGCTATTTTCACGCGGTTGTGGCGCTGTCTCAGCTGTGTGAATCGGCTATTCCCACTCGATTCCCTCCGCTTGTCGCTGCGGATGTGGCCGCTCCACCTGACAGCGCTCTGGGGGCAATGCCATGCAGCAGCAGTGGCGTGAAGACGGGAACTGACAACGAGGACAACCGAGAGTGGTGGCCTTCACCTGTATCGTTGACCGCGGTGCAAGAGCGTCTGGTATGTGCGCGTCGTGTATTGCAGTGCCGTTACGTGTACGGTGTGCTGGCCCCTCTTCTGAGGCGCTGTAATACTAGTGCGCAGCTCGTGGAGGTGCTCATGCCACCCAGAGATTCATCTCTAGGCCCGCATGCTGGTAAGGACAACGACAATCGTTGCAATGGTTCCAACCGATTTGTACCGCTTTCTAGCCCCCCCTCGCATCGTGTTGAGGATCAGATTCTGTCGGAGCTGCTCCTATTAGCCAACCAAGAGTGTGCACTCGATACAGAGTCATGGGGTACATTTGCGATGCCTCCTCTACTGAAGGTGCGGAATGGTATTTATACAGTGCACTGCGCATCGCGTCAAGAGGCTCTAGAACAGTTACTGAAGAGAGAAGAAGAGCTCTATGGTTTGCCACCATTTTTGCGCTTCATTCGGCGTGCAGGCACAGGGTCTGTGCCGGCGTGTAACCATTCAGAGGATTTTGTCAACGCAGAACTGAGTAGTCTCCCAGTGCCTGGTTCCCATCAAGCAATCTCTGCGTTTCCGCATGGCATTCAAAAACGACTCGGTAATGGGGTTTGTGTCGGTAGTCGTTCTAGATTGTCGAATAGTAGCCAGAGCTATTTTTTCCCTTCCCCAGAATCTCTCAACCCTGGCACCTTTGCGTTTCCGGACCCTGCGTACTACCCGACGGTACAGGAGGAGCTGATTGAGATTGCCGCAAAGCACGGATGCTTTGGTCTGGTGATCGGTGAGGCAGATCATATACTACAATTGTGGCGAGACTGGGTCCTTTATCGGACGCATTTAGAGCGACACCATTGGAAGCAAGAACATGACTGTGAGGACGTTGCGTCTCCTGCAGCGATGAGGAGTGAGCTGAAACGGGACGCGTTGCTCGATAACGTTAGTGATGAGGCTATGCCGCATGGTAATGGAGGGGTTGTGGGGAATAAAAGGCGAGGCTTCCATCAAGGAAGGGCCGCGTTGCCGCCGACAGATCCGTTGCTACCGTTTGTTTATTCCACCATGAATCATGACATGAAGGGAAAGCTCACCAGTGAAGTTTCTCTGAAGGCTGTAGCAAGCGCTGAACATGGCCGTAAAGATTCTAAGGCGAATGGAACTCAAAATTCCGTATTCTGGCTCTGTGAGAACCGTTGGTCTACCAAAACATTCTACTATGGGCTGGTATTTGAAGTTGTGTTGCAGAGTGACATAGGCAACTGCGATCAGGGTGATGGGATGACACCACTGACATCACTAGATGCTGATTCTTTAGATGATAACTTACTACATAAAGGCGATGCTGGAGGGCTGGAGGGTGGCCGCCCATTAATCTATTATCCAAGCTGTCTCATAGAGCTTTCTCGCTAGCTTGCTATAGTAGTGAAGCGAATAAAAGAAATGGAATAACAACGTGGGGAATTATAAAGGGCTGGACGAAAGGCGACCTCATGTATGTGTGTGTGTGCGCATGTCCTACTTTTATTATATGCTCCTCCACGCGCTGCATGTTTTAAAGATGCGAAACATTTCTAAGATCACATAATTAACAGGAGCTTGAGGGCCTTGAATATAGAAAAGCGCGAGCAAAGTAAAATACTTTACAGATTGCAGGTGCAGCAAAAAAAAAAAACGGAAAGATTTCATTCGACGCGCCAAATATGCCGGTGTGTTGATAAAAAGGTCTCGACCTGATAAGTGAAAGTTACGTTTAATGCGTTTTTACTTTGATTATCTACCTTCTCTTTCCCATAAGCAGCCCGTACGTTCACACATGATTTTCGATGCTGAAGTGATAATATGTAACGACACTCCATATTTGCCCTTCATTTTCTTTTGAGCGTCTTTCGCTGCTGATTTTGTTTTATTCCAGTCGGATCAAGTAATAATAGTTTTAGTGACTCTCTCCACTGGACTAAGCCGATCGCAGAATACTAAAATACGTGAATGGAAAAAATAGTGTGCCGATATTCTACATTTGAAATACCAAACTTTTGATAGATCAACGATATGCTACGCCGGACTGAACTAGTCTCCGGTGGATACATGATGTATCATCGGAAGGCTATGGGAACCATGAAGTATAGTCGTTGGCGTGGCGCCCACGGTGGCATCAGCCACTTTTATAATCGCACTGCAATGATAGAGGAGGTCCGTAACAATATCCCTGTGACAATGGTTGATCGCGGCATGATGAGCTATGTTCACCGCTCGCGTCTTCGTCATTTTCAGCTATTTCGGTCTTATCAACAAAAGTCTAATACTACGGAATGCAAGCTGCGCGAGGGTGAGATGCTGCGTCGTCGCTGGCATCGTCGTATCCAGAAATCCTTCATCGCCTTCATGCAATTCAAAACTATGAAGGTTCTCGAAGAGCAGGCCAAACTCGTAAACCAGTATGGGCAGGCCTCCGTGAATGCCGCCCTGGGGGATCCGTGGAATGTTACTTCACAAACCGACCGAGAACGCAGATATGCTGTATTACACCGACGCATCAAGACGCTTCCAAGTGTGAATATTGTGCCAAAGCATGTTGCGACTATGAAGCAAATTCACAATGATCGCTTCAATTACCGCTGGCGCGTAAACTAGGCTGTGGAAATCCCTCTCCGTTTGTTTCACAGTGTCTCTTAGCTCTGCATTCATAAATTCCTTTTAGTGGTGATACATCGGATAATACGATGGATATAATCTCTTTTTTTTTGCGTGTATGGTGTCTTTCCATCGTTCCGTATCCTTCTACCACTTTTAATTCCCAACATTGTTGTTGTCGTGGGCATTTCTTTGCATCTTCTCAAACGTTTTTCCCTTCAAAATTCCACGGGCACAGGGCATTATAGCTTCCGAGTCATGCAGAGCGAAAAAATGTTCCCAATGTCTGTATTCTGGCCCTCTTTCCCTTTTCCTAACAAACAAAAAGGAATACAGCTAGAGTAAACAATATATGTATATGTATTTGCATTTGTTGAATTTTTTTATCTATCGTTTGTTCCAGTTTATTTAATCATACCCATTGAGAAAGCACTATATATATATATATATATATATATATTGTAGTAGACATACATT